TATCGTAAAATTCGACAGAGGTCGAATTTTCGAACTTGTTAAGCTAAGAAGTTCGACGCTTTTCGAACCGTCGAACTTATTACGCTAAAAAATTCGATCTTTTTCGACCTTTCGAACTTACTGCGCTGCAAGGTTCGATGCTTGTCGAACTTTCGAACTTGACTGACCAAAAAATTCGATAAATTTCGAACTTTCGAACTTATTTATTAAGAGAATTCGAAAAGTTTCGAATTCTGAAAAGTCAGAAGTTCGACGAACTTCGAACTTTTAGGGTAAAAGTTCGACGTTCGTCGAACTTCGAAAGACCGGCGGACGGTTTCATTTGATTTCAAGTAGTGGGGTACATTCGTAATTTTTTTTTTCTCGAACTTTTACACGCGGTGCTGCGTTCCTTACGAAAGACAATGTCGTTTATTTCAATGTTCTGGCATGCTTAGGTTTAAAGAAATAAATCTTTGAAGGGGCGAGGAAGGACGACGGGTTTTTGACGATTGTCGTTTGTGCCAGATTTGAAGCACGCTGCAGCCGGAGCTATTTATAGTAGATATGTTATACTTTTTTAAGAATGATCTATGTATGGCCTAGGTAAGTGCCGTCTTAAGATGTGATTATTGTTATTCAACGTGAGTTTCGAAGAAATGTCCAAACATGTATCTGCATGCAATTATGACCTAAACTTGATATTTATTTTCGTCTAAGTTGTTTGAGGTATCGCATTTAAATTAACACCACAGACAGTACATATCATTGCCATCTGCAGAATGCAAAATAATATATTTATTGTTTTTTCACGTTAAGGAATAAATTAACTCATGGGAGAAGATTTCTAATAGTGTTCAAGTTCAGCACGTCATTAAAAGAAAACTTTTTTTTTTTTTTCGCTTCACGTTCCTGGGACGTGTTTCTTTTAGCCTGTACAGATTTTGGTAAAAGACACTTGTTTCGAAGTTCTGAACCTCTGAATATGCAAGAATAGAACACTTCCGACGAATTCTTGATAGTTTTTTTTTTGTCCTGCTTTTTATTCCCGCATTTATTTATTTTTTTATTTTTTTTTTTTTTTTTTTTTTTTGTTACTATCGGCACAGGTGTTTAGGTCAAAAAGACAGATTTGAACTTCCGAACCACTAAGCATGTGACGAGCAGTGCCTTCTGACAACGAGTTTCTAACAATGACCATCTACGCAACCTTTTATGCAGTGAAGAGCGACAGTAGCTATACATATGCATAAATAATTTCAGATTAAAATAAGCTCGACCACGCCCTCTTTCCCCGTATTGTTTTCTTTAACAGTCCGAAATACCTGCAAGGGGGAGAAGGAAGCTGAAGCCCCCCCCCCCTCCCCCCCCCCCCCCCCCCCCTACCCTCTTTCTCCCCGTTTTTCCTCTTCCGACGCCACTTGTATGGTAGAACGCTCCTCGACCTCGAGTTGTGTCGGCTTTTGTGCTTTTTGCGAGGCGATTCCTCCGTCCCAGAAAATAAACCTCCAGGACAATTATAAACTTCACCGGATAGGATTACTACCAGCGTGCAAAGGGTGGCGAGCTAGTTTGCCATGTCGCTTCAAGGTTTTTCTGAGCCTCAACCTCCTGCTCGCCCCTGGCCGTTTCGAACTGGATGAGTCTCGTAAAACAGTGTGTTCGTGCAATCACTACTGCGTGATACAGGTTAAAGAACCCCCCCCCCCCCCCCCCCCCCCCGGGGCTGGCGGTGACAATTCTGCACTGGCAAATATTCTTCGCAGAATCTAGATATCACACCATGTATCACACCCTAACTTTTCTAAACTTAATTTTGTGAAAACCAGTGAGTCGTGAAAACGTTATTTGAAACTGAAACCGTGGAAAAACTTGAAAATCGGACTTCGAACTTTGAAAACTTGGATTAGAAAGAAATTCAAAATCTTCAAAAATTTTTTTTTTTTTTTTTTTTTTTTTTTTTTTTTTTAATTTAGCGTTCAAAGAGAATCGAAATCTTCGAACTTTTCGACCTTTATGCAAAAAGAAATTCGAAATCTTCGAATTGTTCGAACTTCATGTCTATAAAAATTCGAAGCGTTCGAAGTTTTCGAATTTTTTTACAAAGAATTTCGAAATCATCGAATTTATCGAACCTGAAGTAAAAAAATATTCGAAATATTCGAATTCGAAATTTTAGAAACCGTGAAAGCTTCGAAATTTTCGATTTCGAAACTCCGCTGTGGTCAAAAGTTGCGAATTTTTCGAAATCGAACCTCGGTCGGTACGAAAATATCGAAATTTTTTTAAATCGAACCTCAGTTCGCTTCGCAAATATCGAAACCTTTCGAAATCGAACCTAGGGTGGTTCGCGACATCCCTAGTCTCAATCCGCTTCTCCGACGTCTTGAATCCTGCTCCCGGATTTGTGGCTTTCCGCTGCCCGGCCGGGACACAGTCGTGGTTAGCGCCTACGCAGACGTCGTCAGTTTGTTTGTCCGCAACTCTGACAGTTTTGAGGCTGCTGGACAGCTGTTTTTGGAGTATGGCGCTCTCTCTGGGGCGTGTTTAAACACTACCAAGAGCCAGGCTTTCGAGTTTGGAGGTTCCCCTCCCGGTCTACCTGCGGATATCCAGGTTGTGAACGAGCTCCGAGTTCTCGGCGTGTTTTTTGACTCTCGTGGAGTGGTACCCCGCACGTGGGAGGTTGTGGCATCCGCCGTTGAATGTCAGGTTGCTGTTGCAGGGACCTTTGCGCTCTCCCTCCGCGACAGAGCTTACCTAGTAAGAGCTGTAGTTTGTGGGCAACTTTTCTATGTTGCTCACATTGCACTTCCCCCTTCTCGGTTCGCTAGCCGCATCACCTCATGTCTCTTCCGGTTTTACTGGAGCAGGGGCACTGAGCTAGTGACAAGGTCGGTGCTCCGCCTTCCCACGTCACTGGGCGGCAGGGGCATGCCCTGCGTCAACACCACTGTGGTCAACACGGTGTGCCACCTGCTTTCCCCCTTTCCCTCCGCACTGTTCTAGGGGTGTTAGATGACACGGATCACCCGGCACGGTCCCTGGCTCTTTATTTTCTAGGGTCCTCGCGCCGAGTGCTTGTTCCTCGTGCGTTGGGCAACCTTTACCCGAGCGCAGAAGCGACGCCGCCGTTTTACCAAGCGGTGGTGGCTTGCCAAGAAGAGTTGAGGCAGGCGTTGCCAGTCCTCGAAGTGCGCGAAGTGCCACCGGCTCGCGTCGTCGAGGAGCTCTGCGTGACCCAGATCACTCTTGAGCAGAGGGATCGGGCGAACGCCTTTCCGTGGACCTGGTTGGTTTCTCGCCGCCTTCCCGGACCTGTGAAGGATTTTGAGTGGCGTCGGGGCTGGGGTGTCCTTCCAACAAGACAACGACTTCACCGCTGGGGCATTGTTCCCGACCCTAAGTGTCCCAACTGTGGACAGGTAGAAACAAACGCACATGTTTTCTTTGATTGTCCCGTTGCACGCTCATTTTGGCGCCTGGTGCACCATGGCTTCCGGGGTATCATCTGGAACTTTGTGTCAGACGGTAGGTGCCCCCGCGGGGGCTTCGCCCTGCTCCTGTTGGCAGTCGGCCAACTGGTCCTCTGGCAGAATCGTTGTGCGGCGGTTGGCCAGCAACGACGATCTCGTGCAATGTGGCTCGTCCTCTCTCGACTGCGGGGTACCCTGCTCCGCCACCTAGACTCCGAGCTCTTTTGGTTGGGCGAGGAAGATTTCCTCAGGCGGTGGTCTTGCCGCTACGTCCGGCTGGTCGGTGGTCACATCATCTTGCTTTTTGCGCCTCTCGCACAGTTGTGAGAGGCGCGGGGTGGGGTGAAGGGGGGGGGGGGATTGGACGTTAGCCAGCCGAACGCTACGCCTGGCTTACACTGACATTTATTAGGTAAAGGAGAGAACCCTCCTTGTGTGTGCTGATGAGATGTAAAGAGCGGCCATGTTTGGTTCGCTAAGTTATGTTTTTTCGTTACCTCCGTCCCTGCATCTTTGTAGCGTACATGTTCCTATTGTATACCAGTGTGATTTACGTCTTGCAGTTTACCGTGTCAATAAATTTTTCTTTAACCCTGTGACCTCTTTCCATTACTGTTTCGGCTCCGAAATGGCTGATTGAAGCCGAATTAGGTGTTACGTGCAGTTCCTTGAGTGACCTCTGCAGGATAAATGGAGGCGTTGTGATCGCCATTTGGCGCTTCAGCCGGGCTCTTGGGAACGAATAGTTATGAAACGAAAATGTAGATAGCGCTTCGATCGACGCTTGGCTAGAGTGCCTCAATGTAGCCGGCAAGCAACATTGAGGCACTCTACGCTTGGCTAGAGTGCCTTCATACACACGCGCGCTTTTGCTTGAGTGGTGACATCTCAGCCATTTTTTCGCCCAATCGTTTTTTTATGCATTTTGAAGTGCGCACAATCCGGTGTCACTCAGCTCGAGCGCGTAGCTCTGGCTGATGCATAGACGCCATCTTACCGCCCAAGTCACGCACCGAGTGCGCGAGAGCGTCACGCGCTGGCTTCCGGACAACAATGGATGTCTTCACCCTGAGACAGACAGACATCTAGGCACCCTACGCTTGGCGGTTTAGAGTGAGTGAGGGGGTACCCCCCTCCGCGGGAGTTCCACGTCTGAGGCAATCTAATAACGTTGGCGCGGGCAGAACTAGGGCGTGCACCAGACGCATGAACGAACTGTTCAATACACGCGCCCTCACGAGCTCCCGTTGCCGAGCCGCTCCGGTCCCAACACCACGACCAACTCTTGTGCCCAACACTACCCAAGCATTCTAGTACACTGAACCGAAACTGAAACTATGTCAGCACCTGGTAATGGCGCTGACAGATCCGTGAGAACTATGTATAATCAAACACACTCAACGACGTGCCAACGCTTGCGGACATTGACACGTACAGTAATCTTTTCTTCTGGGTTAGACGAATAAGAAACAATCGAATGCTACCCTGAGCAAATATCGATTTAAAATCTTAACATCAAACGAAACCAGACAATCCAATCCAGAATGCCCGTGAGTGATCAGAAATGTGTTAGAACGTTGTTTCTTACGTAAATGCGAAGTATAACCAGTATAACGTCGCTGCCACAGAGCAAGAAGATCGAACGTGCCCCAGCAGTGGGCTTCAGAACCATGAACCGTCTTTCGCGCACACTTGGGTTAGATCGGCGCGTTGTAGCGTGTTCACTTGAAAGCTGACAACGAGCAGCTTGTGCACTGTGTGTTTCCCCGGGATTTTCGACAGTCGTACTACAGAGACCAGTACCCTTTCTAGCCTCTGTAGTCGTACTCCCCCGAGGGCATTGTAGCGCCTGCGGCACCGCAATGAGGAAGTGCTGCGTCTTTACGTGTGGTGCCTGCGAATCCGACGGTGTTTCGCTCTTCGACTTTCCCAGGAACCCTAGACTAAGGAGTAAATGGATTCGGATGGTCGACAGGGATCGCTCTGACATCTCCGATTCCACCGCGGTGTGCTCTAGACACTTCCCAGAACACCTGACAGGGAAGAAGGCCAATCCCAGACTGAAAACGGGCGCCTTTCCGACGCTTCAGCTCCAAGGAGCGCCGACCGCGAGTACCGGAAGAAAACGACTGCGCTGTCGTGCCGGTAAGGGCCTTTGGTGATCGCGGCTTGCCGGTTTAACCAGTCGGATTGCTGTACTTTGTTTCACCTGAAATCAGAGTGTTGCCGACGTTACAAGCTAGTAGGGCCAATGAAACAGTAACAAAAAGCGCGTCATGTTGTTTGCCAACTTTGCTGAAACAGTGACCGCAGTGAATGCCATGACCTGGCGTTTTTTAGGGTGTGTGTGCTTTTTTTTTTTTTTTATATATTCCAGTCTTTGACTACTCTCAGACTGGCATAAACGGAGGGGCATAAGCATAGAGTTATTATAATGTACGCTAAAGGTTCAACTGGCGCTAGTGTCTATGCGACTTCCGTGACGCAAATTGAAGCAACCAGTCTACTTTTCCAGTCTTTCTGTGTATTCCTATGGGAAAGCGCGCGTGCATTTTGTCTCTTCGCCGGAAAATAACACGGAACACTTTGGTTATTTGGGTGGTACCGAATAGTATGTACCTTGATTAACACTGTAAAAGTGTAATTGCTTTAGTTAGTGCATTTTTCTTCATCAGTGACCGATGTTTAACTTCACTACATTTCAGTCCCAAACGTGTGTTCCGCAGCAGGTGTGTAGAAACAAGTGACGATTCGAAGCAAAATTACAATCAAAAGGAATGTAGAGTGTGTTCAAGGCTCTCCAGCAATCCGGTGACGCTTATTGATAATATACCAGTCCTGTCACTATATAAAAATGACCCCGTCGTGCATGAGCGGATAAAAACATTCAAAACGTAGAGAATAAAGTCCGTGGGCTATAAAAGTTGTCTCTTCGTATTGTTTTCTCTGCCGGGCAGCTTTTATCGGGCACTTGTTCTCAAAGATTTCGAGCGTGCGAGTGATATTTTGAACGTAGAACAAGCAGCTTCGCTCAGAGCAGAAAGAATAAAAACGGTACTTACTTATTTAAAATAGGAATAGATTACGTGGCCTTCAATTAATTTTAATCGTATATGCTCGTGTAGTTACTGATCCGGTGTTACTGCGTAGTTCTTGCCGTCTTTTTTTAATTTCCAGATGTTCTTCGTTCGTTTGGCAGGTATATCCCCCACGCTCAAAAGCGTCGACGTCGTGTTCGCGCTAAAGTGTCCGGCAGTGCACGTAAATACACGAACGAAGCTTTTTTAGCACCGTTTTTAATGCGATGAATTTGAAATAAAAACACCGTAACTGACCAATTATTTCGTCGGCCTGACTGAGAAATGTTCCAAGCTACCTAGTACGTATGAATTCGGGATATTTGCTCTTATGATCGAGCGCAGAGAGAAAATGCACTCACTTTTTCCCGTAGAAATGCATTACCGCGTTGATCGACTAATTCTGTTTTTATAGTATGAAAGAAACTTTCAGCAACGCGGAAGTCAATTTTCGACTGGTTGCTGTCTGCTTCAATTTGCGTCAGCACACTAGCGCCACTTGAACCTCTAGCGTACATTATAATAACTCTATGGGCATAAGCGCAGCAAGGGGGGGTTCACACATGCTCCCATTATTCGCTAAAACGTCGATTCACTCAAATGTCGCTGTTCGCTAAAACATCATTTTGCTGATGTCATATGGATCCCAGTTTTGTTCGCCTTGCTGCCACACTTCTAGCGCACATAGTGCTGATAGTCTCGCAGTGGCAACAGTTTTATGCTGTCTTGCTCAGCACTGCCAGGACAGAAGCTACCTGATGTAAGGATTGTAACTTCACGCACCGAGGACCGGGGGGAGGGGGGTCCTTTTTTGACCTGCGACACTACCAAACCTATCGTGACTGACATGTTGTAAACTCGGCTAACATAACTATCACAACTAGTTTATCTAGAAGGCTGTCTGACTGCAGCAGCATATTGTGCAAAGTACCTTCATGATCTCTGCTGTGATTGAGAGTGGGCAAGCATGATATCCCTGCTCATTCAAGAAACTAATGAATACAAAATTATTATTGTAATGGCCCGAGAAATAGCCCACCTAAAATCGAGAGAAAATAAGGAGGGGGCTAGCTTTCGTTGTACAACCAAGAAAAGTTGAAAAAAAAACTATTTTTAGATACTGTTTTTCTGTCAAACTTCTTATTGTGGCGAGGGACAATGAAGCAAAGACGACGGCACTTCCCAGTCAGCAGTGTACGCTTATATCCCGCCATAGCTACCTAGACGCATTTACGCCGAGGTCATTATTGATCCGAACACTACTATTACTAGGAAAGGGCTATCTTTCGGTGTTTAAAAGAAAATAGCATATCAAGCTGAAAGTAGGGGGTGGGTTATCTTTTGGGGGTGGGGGATCTTTCAGGATATTGTAGTATGTGTTTTGGCCAGGGTTGTCTATTTTCTTATTTACAAAGTACCTAATTTTCCCTGTGGGCATTATCATACTTTTTTTAAAATATACTCTTAAGTGAGAAAAGAACAAGTCATAATCGTCAATTGTCACAATCTCTTTTGGAAGGTTGCTTCACTCAATTGCGGTTTTAACAAAGATTTGAATTGGCAAAACTGTCAGTTCTATAACTGGGTACTGCAACTTTTTTAAATGTAACCATATCGGGACGAGACGTAGGATGGCTCCAAACGATAGGCGGTTTTATCAATCCCTGTTTTCTGATGAAACACACAATGGGAGTATTTTAACAGGGTGTCAAACCGAAATGATTTTCGTTCCGGTTCAGGAAAAGCGGTTCAGCTCCGGAGTGAAAAAATAAAGGTTCGAACCGGTTCGTACTCATATGCTACAAAAACATTTGACGACAGCTTGTTTGCATGCATAGTTTATCTTTTATCCCAAAAGAAAAACTATGCATGTTTTATGCAAGTGTTACATATAAAAAGCAAAGGCTCACATTACCATGTGAAACGTACGAGCTAGTGCTGGGGCACCTCGGGACGTGGGAGAAAGCGCAGTTGAATGTCAGGCAGCTGACCAATTAAAGAAGCAGGATGTTGTCAAGCATATCCGGGGAAAGACGGCACCTTTGAGACGATAGAATGAACTTCAGTGCTGAAAAGGCTCGCTCCACGCTAACCTGGGCAGCAGTCACTCCCATGGCTACTTGCGCCAATGCTTAGAGTTCTGGATGGCGTTCCCGTCATTCCTTCCAGAACTGTAACACGTTTGCGTGCCTTGAAAGCCGCCTCTCCTTGTCTAGCATTTCCAGGAGCAATGCCATATCAAGTGGTTCACCTTAGTTAAACATATAAAATAACGCAAAAAAGACAAGAAGAAGTATACAGGACAAGAGCTATTAAGTGGGCTACTGGTACTGCGAATGTGCACGCCAGCCTCAACCTTTCTTTCCTTGAGGAGCACTTCCGGCATGTCTTCCGGATCTTCTGAAGCCGCCGCAGTTTTCAGAAGACAGGGTAGAAACTTGCTCTCATTGTAGAGCTGTGATCCGCCTCCAAGTCTTTGACAAATGCAACGTGGCCCGGTACTTTTGCTCGGGGGGGAGAAGGCGGTAGCGGGGATCCATGTATACTGCTCCACAGAAACATCCATGTCAAGAAGTTGTCGCTCCCTCTTTTTCATTGACTGGACGAAGGCCTTTGCTAACGGCGAGGATATCTTGGAAGAAGTGTCCATGGAATATGTCAGCCACGCTTTGTAGAAGAATCCTACAGTGATCTGTTTCTCCTGCAATGTCTTCGTCGCCACTTCTGCCGGGCGAAGTGATACTGCGAGCATTTCGACTTCCGCCCATGCGTCTTCAGTCGCCCCGGAGCTTTCTTCTTTTGAGAGCAACCCTCCTGCGAAGCCTCCTAGTTCAAGTAGTCTGGTGAGCATATGCAGCGTGGAGCGTGGACACCCACCGCGTTCGACAATCAAGCACTGGTTTCTTCAATCCTAGCTTTCTGATCAGGGACATAACACATTAAACACATAGTCTCTTAACAAGCGCACGGCTTTCCCTGGTTTGTGCGAAAATAAGATTAGTTTTCTTTACATTTTTGGTTTATTTTTTGGGGGTACTGTGTTTTTCGCCACACATTTTTTACGTGACCTGACTTCATGTATGAACCGAAAACCGCATGGAAGACATATCGGTTCTGCTCCGGAGTGAAAAATATTATTTTGTTCTAGTTCAACCGCAGTTCGTGCGAAAATGATGTTTTTTTTCCGGTTTTCGGTTCACGGTTCGGGTTCGGTTCAATACCCTGAATTTTAATTTTAGTATTTTTTTTTCTTCTACATTTGAGCGTTTCCCCATCTCACCTCAGTTTTGATTTCTGAAACATTAGCATAAGAATCATTGTTAAGTACAAAGCGTTCTGCCTAATTCTGAATTTTCTCGAGTTTGTTTATAGGCAAGTGTTGATACGGGTCCCACACAACGCAAGCGTAATCTAGGATCGTCCTTACTAAAGAAAAAGTTATGTGTTCCCTTATTGTTGCATCATGCAGAACTAAATTTTCGACACAAAAAATAATTTTTAGCTTTTTCTATTGTTTGTCCTCTATGAGTGCTCCATTTTAGGGTCTGTAAATAACACTCCAAAGTAAACACACTCGAATACCGTACTTAAAAATTTAAGGTACCGTTGTTTAGGTAGCTTTAGGAGACGTGTGGCCGACATCTCGAGAGAGATATATGATTACATTTATTCAGACTTAAGCTCATTTTCCACTGACTATACCAACTAGAGAAAATGCTTATGTCGCTTTGCAATGTGGCAAGGTCGTCTGACGAATTTATCTCCCTCTATAATATGTTGTCATCGGCGAATAGTTTAATATGAGACTGTACATTTTCGACAACATTTTTTATGTATATAAGAAAAAATAAAGGCCCAAAGACACTTCCTTGTGGCACTCCCCAAGTAACCAGAGTTAGTGTGGATGGGCTATTATTTAGAACAACAGGCTGTCCTCGACCTTCTAGATAATTTCGTATCCAGTTCAAAACGCTGTAATCTATGTTTAGCATTGTGAATTTGCGCAACTATAGCTGAGGTGGAACCACGTCGAAAGCTTTACGAAAATATAAGAACACGCAGTCAACATATTTCCTGCTATCTAGTGATCCGGATATCTGACAATAAAAATTCTACCAACTGTGTATTGCAAGAATATCCGCTATGAAATCTGTGCTGTGAATGGGAAAAAAAAAATGTCTTGAATCCAAGAAGTAGTGAAGGTTACCATAAATAATGTATTCAAACAGTTTGCGCGAGATCAACGTTAACGAAATTGGGCGATAATTTTCAACATTGGCTTTAGATCCGGGTGTAAAAACAGGCATGACGTCTGCTATCTTCCAATCCCTTGAAACCACCCCCGTCTTCGAAGACTCAACGAAAAGATACCGTGCTACATATACGCACATTTAAGAAAGGTAACGAGAGAAATACTACCAGGTCCAACGGCCTTCGTAGTGTAAATTGCGCCCAGCAGCTTACAATACAGTTCATATAAATTTTCATTTTGGGCATTACGCCTGCCCTGTAAAGTAAGCCACAGGAGCTGCTCTGTGCGTAAAGTCTTTAAAAAATACTGTGTTAAAACACTCAACCTTAGCATTATCAGTCACCACAGCACCACCATCAACCAACAATGCTGGAATAGAGGTGTCTTCCTTTCTGCTTGCATTTACAAGCTTCCAAGATACTTTACGATTTTCTTTTCTAATTTTTAATAAACGTGTCAAACAACGCTTCCTTGTTTACCGTAATATCCCGAGTCATCGCCCATCCCCGAGCCATCGCCCACCCCATTTTTTGGGCCAATATCGATTTCCGAAAAAACACCGAGTCATCGCCCACCCCTTCAAATACCCCAGCGCGGACTTTGCGATCCCGAACACTCATCCTACCCGAATGACGCGGCCGCGGACCTTACAGTTGGAGGACGTCCGTGACAAAGTAAAACGAAGGAGGGAAAGACACTTCTTTTTGTTTACGCATTTCCTCCGTGAGCGACCCCAAAGTGGTCGTGTATCCGTGCGAAAAGAAAACGATGGAGATAACAAAATAAGAGTTTGTTAATGTAACCGCGGAGTGTTAGGTCAAAGTCTGTCTCCGCCGAAGTAAGGTCACCGCGAACCCGCTTCTTCTTCCCGCCCGTCGCGACCGCGGTTGTGCAATATTTTAGGCAAAGCCAACGCGTAAATAAAGCTTTGCTGGAACGCCCTACACAGACGTTTGCAGAGCGTCCCAACCGTGCATTGATAGCCCGCCGTGCACGGACGCACGTATGTACGCACCAAACAAGAAAGTTGCGCAAGAGCTTGCAATTGACAAGGCGCCCGACTGGGACCGACGCCAAAGTATTTGCCAACGCGACCGCCGGCTTTCCCAGCATTGCTCTTGGTCGCTTCTTTGGTCCGCTCGCTCGCTCGCTCGCTCGTTGCGCCTGGTCGGTTTTTCTATTTTCTTGTAGACTTTTCTTTCTTTTTTTTACTAACTAGGAGAACATAGTGGTGACATTAATTTACGGAACAGACGTTCGCGCTCTATGCAGATCGGCGGTGTTTCTAGCGCGTATGCAAGCAACGAACTTCGCTATAGTAAAATATTCTTTCGTGAGCATTTTTTTCTATAAAACAATGAAACTAAATCGAGTTTTGAGTTTGATGTATCTCTTGTGCATTAGCGCTAGATACGCAGAAAAAAATAGGCGATTTTTTCCACTTTTTTTTTCAAGTGTTTGTGCTCACCCGAGACATGGCCCACCCCCCTTTTTTAATGAATTTCAGGCGGTAGGGGGGTGGGCGATGACTCGGGATATTACGGTAGTTTTATTTGTATTTTAAGAAGCTTATTAACCTCTTTGTACCTCTGCTCATCGAGCACTGACCAACTTTTGCAAAGTTGTAAGTTTATAAATATCTGCGTTAAACCGAGGTTTATTTTTTTATGATGCTTTATTTGTTTTGAGCTAGAGGTATGGCTCCTTGCCTTTTGCGATAATGGAGCAAAGAGCTCTCCTCTGAGTTTGCTTTGTATTCTCTCTTACAGGGCCTCTCAACACTCCTGATAGTTCAGTCCGTGTGGTCTTTTCTTCTGAAGATGCTGATGGTCTGTCATCTTTGAATGAGCACCTGAATCTAGACCAAGCAACCATCACTGTGGTCAAGGAAGGCAAGCTCTTCTTCCAGCACAACTCTTGCTGCTCTATAGAGTGTCCAACCAGGGGTGGTGAGAAAGCTGAACACTGAAGCATAATGGAGCATAAAAAGTTCCTGAGCTATCAGAAATTACGTCAACCTTCATGTCTCACGTGCCATTGGGCAAAGAAGTTCCTCAATGTTACGAGCACAGGTTACTTTTTGCCGATCGTGGCTATCAGAGCTGAAATATAATGATATGGCTTCATCTTCAGACCTACTCCTGCCATTTGAGCCCTAAAAATCGATGAAGGGTTTGCGGTAAGTGCCACGCTTGCGAGCTTGCACCAGGTTCATTCGTGGCTGTCAGCAACGACGACGCGCCGTCTATTTTATGCTTGACTTAAGAATTGCTGCTACGGAGGAAAAAATACAAACACAGAAACCAAAATGTAGTCGTCAAACTATCTATGAGGGGGTGCAGTTAAGCTGGAAGCTCCACGGTAATTTGAAACGAACCTCAGTGTCCATCGATCACGGGTGATCGACACCCCATGGGAGCAGTCAGGGAAGAGTGAAGGAAAATGGTACAGGATTTAAAGACATACTTTGTAAACATGCATCATTGTCAAATATTCAGGGTGTCTAGCAAACGGGAAAACTGGGAATCGTCAGGGAAAATTTAATTACCGGGAAAAATCAGGGAATTATCAGGGATATTTTCAACAAGTCAGGGAAAATGAGCTGGAAACGCCATTGAGTGCCCTGAGCAAAGACTTGAGGACTTGGGTGCAGAAAAATAGGTAATTAATTCTGCTTAGAGTGGAGCGCGGGCTCTGCTCACCCGATGTAGAATGTGCTAGCCGATGCAAAGGGAACCGCCGACAAATTTAGTCCAAGCCATGCATTGGATTGGATTGGATTGAATTGAGGGCGCGACACTAGGCTAGATCCAGTCAAAGCCACTAGATTTAGTAACAAATGGAAAAGCCGCAGACCGCAATCCAATCCGAGCCGAAAGTATCCGAAAGTGTGCATCTGGCGGCCGTGCATTCGGTTATTGACGTGTGCGGTTAAGCGTCGTGTTTTCATTGTGTTTTTAAAAGTGGCCTCTTCGCTGACGATGTCGGCGGCAAGAAAGTGCTTGTTTAATCCGGACTCAACAAACCCGAATATTTTGGAATATGCAAGTTGGATTAAGCCCATGCAGAATGATTCTCACAGTGCTCAATGCTCAATGCCTTGTGTTGTAATGGTCTTATATATCTAACCGCCTCTACAGTGGTCAGGGAATTTCATCTGAAATTGTCAGGGAAAACCTGGAAATGTTGGGGAATTTTAAAATGATAATTCACTAGACACCCTGGATATTATATTTTCAAGGCCTAAGGGTCATTACATAAATGGGGTACATAAAAGGGATACTGAACTGAAATTTGGATATCGCAAGATAAGGCCACAGAAGCGTTGAACGGGATACTACTAACTCCAAAACATCACTTGTACATTGACATCTCAAAGAGATGGCTGTATTTTTGGAAATGAAGGGCGCGATCAAGTGAGGACTATGACGTCACAGTCCTCTTGGAACAGTTGACAATCAGTGGAAGTGGCCTCGCTTCTCTCCTCCTCTCGTCGGTTTACCAGCTCGAGGGGACAAAGCAAAGAGGAGAGGGAATGAGAATCGCGACGTCACATGTCTCGTCGGAGTGCACTTCTTTTCCAAAAATACGGCCATCCGTTAGAGATACTGCTGTATGAGCAATGTTTTTGGGTTTTGCAGCATCCCGACTATCACTCCAGTCTTGTTTTGTGAGCTCTCAATTTCAGTTCAGTATCCCATGTGTTTTTAATTAGTCCAGAATTAAATGCATAAGGAACTGGCAGTGTGTTTTTCTTACACAGTGGCCCAAGTTTCTGACCATGGTGGCTATTAGAAAAGATATGAAATGGTAAACTAGCTAATTAACTAAAACATTTCAATTACCTTTGTAAATTTTCGATTTTGGGGCAATAATGTATTTGGAAAATTGGAGCTTGAACTTTAACACAGTCCAGTCATTTCATGAAATGTTGCTTAAAATATCTTGCCGCTGTATTTCAAACTAGTGATCGAGTTGTCATGTGCAGAACTGCATTTTATGAGGAATACTTTGGGTGCTGGCGTCCAGTCTCGGCTTTTCTTGCATGTACTGCTGTGTCTTTTCAAAGCGTTCCCACCTCCACCGCTCCCATTCTTTTTTTGTCGCAAAACATGTGCACACACTACGAAGGCAATGCACAGAGCGAGGTGAGGGGCACAAGAGCATTGTTTGGGGTGACTTTGGAATGTATTGATGTACGGCACATGTGAGGACGTCCAGTTCAAGGACAGTGGAGGCATTTGGCAGCTGGCCAACCACGTGACACTTGACACGGGTGCTTTCGAAATCTGACTTTGCTTCCAAACAAATGCAATATAGCTTTAAGAAAAAATGAAAGCCGTTTACAATTCCCTGTAACGCCAAATCAGAGTGCAGGCATCCATTTTCTATATACTTCAGACCCCAAAAATTTCAATTACTATAGTTAATTAGTTTTTAGTTAATTAGCTACCTAATGAACTGATTTCATCTTCTAGTGGCCGCCGTGGACACCAGCTGGGTCTTGGGGCTAGAAAAACCATAATGCAAGTTTCCATTAAAAAATAATTCTGGACAGACTAAAGAAAAGACACCTTCTATGTCTGCTTGCATTAGCTCCTCTTTGTTACACAGAATGGTGTTTCAGTCTCAAGGAATTGCTTCTACTGTATTAATTTTACAGTCAAGAGTTGCTCATAGGCACATGGCTACATAGCTTCTATGCATTAAAGGGACGACTCTGACTCCAGTGATGTTGTGCAATTTTAGAATGTTCTCGGAGCATGTATATTTCATTATTGCCCTTAAGTGTGGACGTGGAAACCATTTTAGCAGACGTCTAATTAGCTATGCACCAGCTGCCGTATGTCAAGCTTCCCTCTGGTAACCAGGTGGTTACTCAACGTCTGTTTTTGGGTAAGTGGTGCAAGCTACCGCCCATTATGATTGGTACTGCATTTAGCACCATTCCATCCATCCGCATTAGTACCCACAGATTGTGACAGCTGGGGTATCTTTTGACAATCTATCATTCATGATCACTTGTTAATGGCCACTGCTTACCTATTAGTGTGTACCACAGCACATCCTCGTTACTATAGTCGGTGACAGGCTAAAAACGAAGTGGAAGCTCCTCCTCCCTCTTTCCACTTCAGTAGAGTGAATGCTAGAGAGGAGGCGACCTCCTTTCCACCGTTTGCTCAGCTGAACTGGAAAGGGATGGGAGGAGCTTCGACTTCGTTTTTGACCTGTTATCAGCTATACATCATATGGATCTTTCCCTGTCTTTTTATGCATATTTTGTGTTCTGCCAATGGTAGTTATGTACTAGGTGCACTCCATCAGCTTGGTCATAGTGGTCATTACCATTTTGTCTGTCGAATATGTCTCTTTGGGCCAGACTCAAAGCAACATTCCTGTGCTGTCTTTCCCAACAGAACCCGAGGAGGTACTAAATACTCCAATGGGTGAAAGTCTGCATTGGGAGGACTATGATGGAGTGTCCACCACTCCAACGCACTTGGAAGATGTGAACAAGACTTGTCCAGTGAAACAAGGTGTGCTCTCCTGATTGTCGTTATGAGGCTTCAGGAATGTTTCTTGTTATGACGAAGTGTAAGCAAAAGTCATGTTCTTGTTTCGAGGAATCTAGCTGCAAAGAATTACCGCATCTTGTGAAATATAAATAAACAATTTTAGACTTAAAAAACATTGCAGGGTTGACTTTGTAAAAAGGGAGACCTCCGATTTGCATACCATAGAGTTCCGAAAGAACGCCCGCCCATAATGAAGAGATAAATGGTGAAAAACATGGGGGTGAGCTATCTTTGAGTATGCCACAGCAAAGCTTTTTCACAAATTAATGATGAACACCCTGGCACCGGGTACGAACCACGTGACGTGGAAACTGATATTGCATATTGCGGACGCCGCAAATTCGCGTTTCACGATGCAATAAACACGCGGAAATTTGCTACAAACTCCTGTGTCCTGGGAAAGGACATTGCAGGTTGCAGACACAGCAGATTTGCGTTTCACGGTGTGAAGGATTCACAGAAACCCGTTGAAACTCACTTCACAAGAACAAATGCTGCAAATCGCGGACGCAGCAGTTCCAAGTTTCATGCTGCAATGAACATGCGGGAGCCTGCTATAACTTGCCTGTCACGGGAACCGATATCGCTCGCGCAGATCGTGGGCGAAAACACAGTAATCCACTAAAACTTGTAGGTTACGGAAACCAACACCGCAGGTCGCGAACACAGCATAATCGTATTCTAAGATTTAAAATAGAAGTAAATAATATTTGGACAAAAAGATATCCTCAATTTGTAACAGATAATCAGTATTAAAAGACATTTCTGCGGCGGCTTTTGGCAGTGGCAGCCTTGCGATTGACAATACTACCGCAATATTCCGAGACTTAGCCCACCAAAAATCAAGAGCGAACTGTGCGAAAATTGGGAGTGGGCTAACTCTCAGTGTGCAGTAAAAAATGTTGAAAAAATACTATCTTTAGGCTATGTGTCCCTGCCAATCTTCTTATCGTGGTAAAGGTTAATAAAGCAAAGGTGACCACATCCCAGTCAGCAGTGCTCGCGTATATCCCACCGTAGCTAACTAGCCCCATTTATGCCAGGACCATCATTGATCCAAACACTACAATACTAAAAGTGGGCCGTTTTTCTGTGTTGAAGAAAAAAGGGCATATCAAGCCAAAAACAGCATTGGGTTGCCTTTCGGGGGTGGGGCATCTCTTGGGATATCACTAGGTAATTGTCCCACCATAAATCGTGCAAACAAGTGTTGCTTCAACGAATGTTAGTACTTTCAAATAGCCAAACTCCTGCACACAGTTGTTAAGAAACTTCTCTTCCCCTTTCATGAAACCTACATGTCAGTGATGGAAGTGCTGCGCCATTTGCACCAAATTGCGCCATGAACGAAAGTTTGCCACATTTTGCGCCAAAATGCCATTTTTGGTAAGAATTACACCACACCTGTGCCCAGATTGGCTTAGATTGAAAATTTTTTTATTGTTTTATTATTGGTCGAGTCTAATATTTGGACACGTAGAAAAAAAGAAATTGTAGAAATATGAATTTCACGGCAAACACACATGTTAAAAAAGCGCAAATCACGGGACATTCGCTGCACTTGATTAGTTTAGCCTATGAAAGAACTCGTACAAGGAGGGGACGAATGCCATAATGTCACGCTTTGATGCTGCGAATCATCGGGCCAGAGCCATTGGTGATGGACATCAACCGCTCTGGCCGGTTGATGCGCTGGTTGGTTGATCGCTGACATTGTCTGAATTTCCGTACGATGTCGTTGATGTAAGCAACTAAGGATCCTCAGAAAACTTTACAGAAGAGTAGGATTGTCGATTGCGGCTACTGTGACAAAACCGAGCCAGGGTCTTGTACTCCTGATAAGATCACTCGCCTTCGTTCCGTGGCTGCAGAAGACCGTACCACTTGAGCCGCTCGTGTCTTGAGCCGCTCGCCTCAACCTTCACCTCTCAGGAGCGTGCGCGCGTTGAGCTTCACCGTTTTGCACCCGAGTGCTAGCAGCAACGACTGCTACATAAACTGCTACAAAATGTCAAATGCCGCTTCCATCACTGACAGGTTCACATTGTCCACTGTTCTAAAATTTCAACTCTATCTAAGAAGCACAAACAGCATGATCCAAACTGGAAGTGTGTTGACATACTGTACAAACCTTGTCGAGGTGAACGGGAAGCTCTCTTTCAACAGTAGCCCAAGATTAAGAAAAGAAGCTAAATTGGCCTCTCTTTAGGATTGCTTTTTAGGATCACTTCCAGCAGGCAGCTTTGAGATAGCACATACCGATATTTGTGTTTACGGGCTGGGATCCATAAAGGTAAGTACACAGCACTGGTTACAGACAGCTAATGCTGCTAGCACTGCAGTAAACTTTTAACTCCACTCTTTTTGTGCACTCTGTGATATGAACTCGTGTGGCGTCCTTTCCCACGAGTCACCTCTTTGTGGAGGTCCCTTGCCGTGAAGTACCAGCGACTGTGAACCTAACAGCGAAAGAAAATGTTGGCAGGCAATGTCTAAATGAGAGTTCCCCGGACATTAATTGTGCGACACCACATTTAATTTGCTTTTGTCTTAACGAAGAACACAGTCAGTCATGTCATGCCCTTTCAGTTCCACTGAGCCAGATTACAACCATTGGCTTGTGTTGTTCCCCTGATTGTAGTAGAATGCGCCTACATATATAGGGTTTCTCTGCTATTGCAAGCAATAAGATAGAGGATGCTCGGTGAGGATTAAATGATTTCTCATTTCCATCAATGTTTTTGTGAAAGGTAATAGACAGGTGTCTTGTGCTTGTTTCTAAACAGAACCGGAGGAGTTTGCTGCCACCCTTGGGATGGAAGGTGAGGGCAAGACCTTTGAGGCCTTTGACTCCATGCCATTATTGCCAGTGCTGCTGGAAGGACAGCGGAGGGACGGTTCCCTTTGTGTGATTGAAGGCAAGCTCTTCTGCCCTATTTATTCTTGTAGGCACCATTGATATCATCAAATGAGAAGCAAAGATTGATTGTTTGTCTTCCCTTTGGTGAGTTGACATATCAACATGGTAAAGAGTTTTCTCATTGCCCTAACTCCCTAAGATGGAACGGCGTGAAATTCTTTGAGTGCAATATAATATTTAGGTTTGGACAACAGACTTACTATGTTTGACCCTCTGTACCCTGAGCTTGACTACAGTATTTGAGAATCGTCATTCAGATATGATGCTGTATGGCAGGGGTCTCTAAACTCTCTGGCTAAGGGGCCAGGTCGGATATCTGTTGCTGTCTCGAGGGCTGGATAATAAAGAAGTAAATATAAATTGGAAATAAACTTAACCCATTCGCTGCCGTTTGCGTCGCACGCTGCCGGGCCGTCTATACCATACATTTTTCCCTTAAAACAGGGCCACACTAGGCGTGACTGTTTTGCTTGTATAATAAGCTTTTACGGTAAAACTCAGTGCAGAAAACAAGGAAACATGTTTATTTGCATGCTTAAGTGGTTTGTTCAAGTCTTTAAATCAATAGACCCTCACAGATTCTTCCTCGTATGAAATATCTCGAAGCACTGCATCCTCGGTCGCTTAGGCGTCGCACAACTATTGCACTCTTGTCGTGATTCGGACTCCGAAATGCTGTCTGAATCGCTCCCGTCGTCGACAGAAGGCTCCGAAAACTCACTATCCTTACCAGACGTCCCATTATCATCGCTGTCGAAAAGGATATATATGATTTCATCGTCAGAAAGGCCACACCGCACACTGGACGCTGCCATCTTCTCCAAGCAGACAGTGATCAAGTGGGAAAGACGACACACAAAAGAACAAGCTCATACAAACACAGCGGACAGAAAAACCCTCGCCACCTGTTGGTAATGTATCTAACTGCACTACCCCAAATCTACATAGCACGTCATCTATGAATGGCTCTTTAAAACAGAAATTCATGCAGACCAGCGAATCGCGGGCAAACCGACGGCACACCCGGCGGTTTGCCGGCTTTGGTAGCGAATGGGATAAATAATCATAGATCAGCATCTAAATACAAAACTGAAAGTTATGGTAAAAAAAGAGAATGTATGGGGGATAAAGATATACTTTATTTCGAAATTAAATATTTAGCTAGAGGCAACATTACACAATAATGGGGACCCAGAAAACTCACAAAGCATAAATCAAAGCACATAGCAACTTTGGCATGTTCACGCGCTAGCGCAATATACATGCAAACAGGGGTGAAAGTGCTGCGCCATTGTGCGCCATTCCACTTTCGCTGCGCCATCCTGCTCCCAAGTGCAAATGTTGCACCAAAACTAAGTGAAAAAGTTTTTTTTTTTTTTCTTAAATTTAAAATTGATTATAAAAATAGTAAATTTTTGTTTGATGAAAACAGGCACCAAGTGCCAATTTTTATCTAACGAGAATGATCATGATTTGCTCCGGACCAGGTACAGTGTAGACCGCATATAACGTATGTCGCGGGAGTCACGAAAATCCGCACTATAAGCGGTACCGCGTTATAACCAAAACATCAATTTTTCAGGCCAAAATACATGCCATGGGACAACCTACCTTTGTAAAAGAATTTATTTTATGTTAGATGAAAAATAAAGCTTAGTTTGAGGAAAGTCTTTATTTCACCAGACTAGTACATATCTCTCTCAAGTGTGTCACACATTTTGAAAGAGATAAGCGGCTTTTGCCTGGCGCAGCCTTTTAAAGGCGTCGCGGGTTGCGGACGGACGTTGCGAGCGTTCAGGATTGCTAACCCTAATCACTTTTCTCCGGAGATAAAAACGCGTGGTAATTCGCATCCTTCATACGGTACGCGCCAGTAATACCTTGAACTTGAGCACAGGCATGAAATGCTCCAAATAAGAAATCCGGACGATGTTCGAAAACACAAATGCTTAGAAAGCACCACTTTAGCCGAAGTAAACAAACACGATGACACGGGCGTTTCTGCCGTCTTGAGGGCGCCGCCACATCGCCGCACGAGTAGGTGGATCTTCCCTTCTAGTACGTGCTGGGTTATCATAGCGACACACAACGAAAATTCACTGTCAAGGATAGCGTTTTTACGCGGAACGATGAGATGAACGCCACAACCGACGCCATGTTTGCGGACAGAAGCCGCCGGCCCGCGATTGGCATGCAACGCGCGCGAACACTTCTCGACCTGCGATTGGTCTGTCGTTTCGGTTGTTTGTTTCCAACGCAGCGGAGGGACGCACACACATGAACAACACGTGCGTGCGTTCTTCCGTCGCTATGGCAAATGAAGCCTCTCTCTTCGCTTCCTCGAGCAACCTCCTTGCCCCGCGAGTGCCGTTTGCGGCTCGCGCCGTTATCTAGTGTCGCACAGGGAAGCGTGCTTGCTGCTCCGGTCGTCGGCGCGGTCGGCGGGTTGTGCCAGAAACCGCACTATAACCGGTATTGCCCTTCGCGCGCCTGCATTTTAAGCGGTATGTAATTACATGGAGTTCTATGGGAGGCGAACCGGTGGTTTAAATAAACCGCGTTATACCCGGTCCTGCACTATAAGCGGTTACGTTGTAAGTGGTCTATACTGTAAATAAAAAGTGTTCCATTTCGTTACCCAAACATTACCCCATATTTTTTACCATTTATCTTTTCATTTTGAGTGGGCGTTTCTTTTTTTTTTTAAGACTCTACGGTATATAAAACATGTCTAGAAGCCTCCTGGCATGTGTTCACCTTTCATCTAATCTTTAGGGAAAGCAATAACTACTCTACAAAATTAAACAAACTTTTGGCATAATTTTTTTTTATTGTTTGCGTCTTTAAGGTGTTTGCTTTTGCTGAGACCGCTTCCGTATTCCTCATCCCTGTCCTAAACATAACAACAAAGCAATAAATGGTTGCCTCATCTGTAACATTGTATGTTTTGCCTGCCACCTAAACAAGCTTTTTTTTTTAGTCTACTCAGTCATGCTTGTTCTAGTAAGGGTTTAAAGGGACACTGACAGGCTATTTATGCTCGCCGAGGTTTTTAGTTGTACGTGACACATGAGAGCCCAGCTTCCCAGAACAGAATTTGCTGCTCAAAATTCAGATTTCGTTTCGCCCGAAAACCGCTAATCGAGAACTGGCCGGTTTGAGTCGTGCTCACTCTCTTTTCTGTTTTCACGAGCCGTTTTCTAAGGTTTAGACACAACCACCAAATTTAATCAAAGTCGTAGGTCGTTGAAGGCACTCACACAATATTAAAAATAGAAAAAAATATGAAACCCATTTTTTATGGCTTCTAAAAAGCTGCGAATAGGTTTATTGAAAAGGAAGGATGTGACAGGCATGTAGCGCCCTCTCCCATGCACCCGTCGATGGCCGCCAGGCTCGGCGGGCAACATTGGTCACCACGCCAAATAAACGGACCGGGGTGGTGTACGCTCCGCGGTGTTCCAACTCTCCCGGCGGCGTGGGCCGAACCGTGCACATTGGTGTCCTCCAGTGCCACGGTTCCTCGTCGCCAGAGAGAGTGTGAACACTGCGGACGAAGGGGGACCAGAAGCATTCTGTGTATTCACTGCGTAATTCTCAACATGGCGTCGTTTCGCGTATCGTGGGGCTCGCGGGGACGGCGATGGCAGCAGACGACGGGCGTGGAACCTCTACTTCAGAACTGTCGTTCGCGGTACTGGCGAATTTTGTCTTCCTTTAAAAGAGAAATTTTGAACCGATCAAAAAAATTGGTATTCATCCCGTATGACATGCCCGACCACCAAGCCGATTTGCACGAAGATGTCGCCGAGCTGTTGCCGCCTTCTAGTGGTTGAAGACATTGCTTGCGCAAACGTCAAGCATGAAGTGTGTACTTCGGATTGAATATGCACGTGTACGATTTCTTTACTGCCGTAAAGTCCCATAAGGACGCCCACCCAAAGTGAAGAGATAGAAAAACATGGGGTGGGCTGTCTTTAAAGATGCAACACCAAAACTTTATAAAAAAAAGGCGAAAAGACACTGGGCTATATGCTACAAACCACATAAAGCGGGAACTGATACCGTGGACTGCGAACATGGCAGATTTGTGTTTTATGATGCGATAAATACGGAGGAACTTGATATGACATCCTGTGTCATGGTAAAAGGAATTGCGGACGCAGCAGATTCACTTTACCGTGTTTGCACGATTCTAACGCGCTGGCAGATTTAGCTTTCAGATATTGGAAAAGTAAATTGTGGCTGATTTTACCGTGCAGGTAAAATAATGAAGATTGAACACGTAGCTCATAGAACAGATATTATTAAACGAGTGCCAAAACAAAAATAAATGCCATGCACTAGTTGCCGTTTTCACAGTCCGATGACGGTTCTTTGCTGTCTACAGAGGTGATTTCTGCTTTCATCTAAAGCGTTCTTTCGCATGTGCATACAAGTGCGCATTCGTCGGCTTGGGGGGGTCGTCTTCCAAACAACACTGCGAGCTCGTCGGGTCGCTTGGACTGCGAGGCCGTGTAGTGCTGCTCCTTTGTTATCTTTTTTTAGTTTTTTTTTTTAAATAAAGTCTTCTAGTGAATTTTGTTTTCCCATCTTAAAAACGGTGCGCACAAGTCTGTAGACGCGAAAGAATGCACACAATACGAATACCAAAATGACGAATATAAAGAGAGGGTCACGATGGCATTGAGGCTAGCCACCTTATACCAAGTACCGTTTATACAGTTTTTAATTAGTTTTGGTTTTTGGTTTTGATTGTATTGCACATGTGGTTTGGGGCACCGGTTTTGGCGAAAAGAAGTGCGCGTTAGAATCACGCAAACACAGTACACGGTGCAAAAGTCACGCAGGAACCTGCCGCGAACTCGTATGTTACGGGAACCAATGATGCCAGTCGTGGATGCAGCAGATTTGCATTTCATGGGGCAACAGACGTACGGGACAACCCGTATGTCACAGGAATTGATATTGCGTGCACCGATCGCAGGCAGAAAACGAGGGAACCCACTACGAACGCGCATGCCACGGGAACAAATAACGCTGATTGCGGACGCAGCAGTCTCGCATTTCACAATGCAATAAACACGCAGGTTTCAACTTGCACATTACATGGACCAATATCGCGTGCCTAGATCACGGACAAAAACGCGTGAACCCGCTAGAAACTTCCTTGTCAGACGTACCTGTACCGCAGATCGCACGGTTGATATGATTCCTGTTGGACATTGCGTGATGTCTGAAGGGAATAGGGGGTGGGTGATATTTTGGAATTTTTATGTTTTAGATATTCAGTAAAAAAAACGGGATGGGCGTTCTCAAGGGCGAGAGCGCTCTTAGGGGGTTTTACGGTAGGTGCGAATGTGGTTAACGCTTGTTGCTGCCCGACTTTGGACCCGGGAGTGCTTTTGATGGAGGAAAATCGGCAGCAAACTTTCCAACCTACAGCTGACCGGCTGCATTATTACTAACGAAAACGTTTCTCCAGTAGCTCGGTGGAAAGATGTCCGCTTTTCACATGCTGCGGAACCAGTTTCAATCCCCGATGTGGGCGGTACTGTTTTTTTTGTTTGTTTTTTTTCAAACATTTTGCGATATATACATTTCTTTTTTCTACAATTATCACTGAAAAAAACAAAATGTAGGGGGCAAAACGTCGCTGAACTAAATGGTATGAGATTTCCTTTTAGACACCTGCGAACTCAATGTATTCACTTTTCACAAAATGCAAGGAGCATATAAATCAGGTAGCGTCCGCTTTCCGAGGTGCCCGTAAATGTTCTACAGGAATTGCAGTCAGCCATTGGTGTTGAACTTGTTGATCTATCGGAAACTTCTGCAGACTCTGCCGCACAATGCCACTTTTTTCGGACGCAGGAGCTCTTCACGCAACATCTTGGGGGTATTCTTTTTGGAGCCGATCACGGAAATTCACCACGGGCACTGACTACTCATCACGGAAATTCACCACGGGCACTGACTACTCATCTCCAGCTTTTCAATGTAGAAAACAACTTATCTTGAACTGCAGAACAGCGAGCGGAACAAACATTACAGCAAAAAAATCATACAACAAACGGTTCCCCGCCATATATGTCATCTGCTGCGCGCAAAAAAAAAAAAAAAAAAACAGAGGGGAAAAAAAGCGCATGGTCGGGTGTAGCTACGTGACTTTCACCACTCACTTTTTCCTCTCCACTTCTCCGAGCTCCGTCCGCAGGTTTCGGTTTCGAGCAGTTGCATTTTTTGGCTTTATTAAAAATATATGTGACTCTGTTGCAAAATATTAATTGGGTAGTCTTCCGACACCATAATAAATCGCGTGGCAAGAAATTAAAAAATCTTTTGGGGGGGGTGTCAGTGTCCCTTTAAGCGCATATGTATGAGCAAGGATGATATCATGAAGTTTTCAATATTTTGCATTTGTACTTTTATCAGATAGGGTAAATTTGTATTTTGTTAACTTGAGTGTTGGAATACGCTTGTGTTTGCTAAACAGGGTCTTTGAACATTTGTATTTCCTAAAAATGAAATGTGTTGTCAGTAAGTATTGGAATTTATTACCTAACATACTATTGCATGCCTACTATTGGAAATCCCTAAGAGGAACCAACCCGCTACCAGGACAGTTCTCAATTGCTGTCATTCAGATAAATTGGAATTACGCTGTTTGCTTTTTATGCTATGGACATGAATATATTTAAGGAAAGGGTATGTTTGGAAATGGTTCTGGAACATCACATGGAGATGCTTTTCCATTGTGATATTTTTTTGCATTTACAAGAACACCTCCACATTTATAGCCCCAAGTTTGACCTGGGTGACCAGCTCCAAGATGTACTTACGCTGCTACGAAACTCGACTCTCGTGGCTCCAGAGCTGCTCGAAATCCGAGCTTCTGCTGTTCCAGAGCTGCTCCAAAAGGGCATATTTGCTGCTCCCAGACCTGCTACAAAAGGCTGTGAAGCTTGCTTCCAGCGCTGTGCAAAGGCAAAGGAATTTTAATGTAGTTACACATTTCTGAAGCAGGGGACTAAGAATGGTGATCGTGGTGATGACAATGTCCAATCAATAATATGACAAGAGGACACGCTTTATTGATTGGCAGCTTTCTCTCGTGTTTTTATTTATGATATCTTGGTTTACGCGATTGGTGTGCTTTGCGACACCGTTCCTTTACGTGGGCTTATTTTTGCTCCGATAGCGGCGGGCCTGCTGAAAGCGAGCCACAGGCAGGCTTCATTGGAAGTATGCGGCCAGCCGTGGGCCCGGGTTTGGAGACCCCTGCTGCATGGGCACCCCATTGACTCCAGTAATGATTGATGGGAGAAATACAGGCATTGAGGCATTCTTGTGAATATCAGAGTACGCTCCTAACAAATAAATTACAGAAATGCGATTTATTTTCCTCTCACTGCGTGTGAAGTCATGTGAGGAGACGCACGCCTTTTTGCGACTTTGACTGTCGGCAACAGTGGCATGTCATTCTTTCCAATAGTGCCGGACGAGATACTGCCCACTCCAACGGGCGGAGGTTTCCGTTCAGAGGACTGCAACAGAGTGACTTGCCCCCAGCTGGACCTGGAAGTACACAACAACAGCTGCTTTGTGAAGCAAGGCAAGCTCGGCTGCACTTTACCTTGTCATCATGAACATAACCTTGTCATCATCATTAGCTGCAACGAGTAAAAGCTTCCTTGTTCTCATGGTTTGAAGAAAAGCCCGAAGGCAAAGAGCATGAATGCTTAGATCTGGTGCCACAAACCAGCTGCAGGAAAACATCTCTTCTTTTTAGCAGAGTTGAGTTTTTCAGAGTCAGCGTGCTTCGTCTTTAGAGCTGCAAGCCTGGTACTTTGTGCCAATTTGCTTGAATGGTGCCCTTATATTTTTGTACCAGGTCAAGAGTGTGTTGTATACTGTCGAATGCACTTATGGCAATCATACATATCTGTGCCTCCAGTCTGTAGCTCGCTGTCTCACTGTGGAATCGGAAAGCGCTGTAGTGAGGACGCCCTGGTTCTCTTGCTCAGCGGGCACAGTAGAACAGCTCGCAATCATGGCTCGCAAACAGTCATTACTAAATGCAAGCAACCCTCTTCACTGTACCAATGCAGTGCTGCAGCCGGTATTGGTTACCGTATTTACTGGCACAATGAACGCACTCGCGTAATGAACGCACCCCCAAAGTTGGCTCTCAAAATTTCGACTTTTTTTTTTTCACTCGCGTAATAAACGCACCCCCAACTCTGACGTCAAAATTTTGACCCCCTCCCCCCACGCGCGCGAAACTTGCGAAAATGAACGCACTTTTCTATCCTGGTGCAGCGAGGTCGCGAATGCATGGGCAGTGTGGGCGAACAAAACGCCTTGCAAAAGGCGTTAAAAAAATTCGCAAAGATCCAGCGGAAGCAAGAAAAAAAACATGGAGAGGAGCTTTTTTTTTTTTTTAACACAGCGCAGCCTGCACGTTAGGGTTCGCGCGCCGGCGCGCGCAAGCAGGTAAGAAAGTGAAGCGCTCTAAGCGAACGAAATAGCTCGCGAAAGGCGGCAAAAAGAAGAAAAAAAAGAAGACCCACTGAACTAAAAAAAAAAAAAAGCTTTTTTTTTTCTTTTTTTTTTTTGCACAACGCAGTATGGTTACGGGTGGTCGCGCCGCGCGCAAGGAGGTAAGAAAGAGGAGCGGAGAAGTCCTCTAAACAAAGGAAACAGCTTGCAAAAGGCGGCAAAAAGAAAAAAAAACACGGAACTGAGAAAAAGGAAAAAAAAAAGAACCTTTTTTTTCTCTTATTTTTTTCGCACAGCGCGGTTTAGTTATGGGGGGTCGTGCGTCGCGGGCCGCGCGCAAGGAGATAAGAAAGATAAGCGGAGAGCCCACCCTTGCCTAAGCAAACAAAACAACTTGCAAAAAGCGGAAAAAAAAACAAAAAAAAAACATTAAGGAAGTAAAAAAAACAAAGGAATTTTTTTTTTTTTTTTTTTTGCACAGCTTAGTTTGGTTACGGGGTTGGGCGCCGCGCGCAAAGAGATAAGAAGTTACTTCGATTTTTCGGGATAAAAGGTCGGTTCATTATGCGAGTAAATAAGGACGCAAAAATTTTACTTCGCGTAATGAACGCCCCCCCTAACTTTGCATCGATATTTCGGAAAAAAAAGTGTTCATTCTGCGAGTAAATACGGTATGTTGTTAATTACGGGCTTTATGGCACAAAGCTATTATGGCCATACTGCGCCAAGCTATTGGTTATGTGTGTTTGCGTTAGAGTTGCATGCTCCACGCAGCGCATGCACATCGTTGTCATGCACCATTTCAAAACTGTAATTTTGGACTTTGTACACGTGCATTGTGGAGCATGCAATGCTAACGCAAGCACACAGTGCTTACATTCGCTCGTATATGCAATACTAAAACTCAGTACTGTTGAGACCGGTTGTAACGAAGTCGACAAGAATCTGAAATCTTTTCGCTATAGTATCCGCTTGTTCGTTATAACCGCCTTCGTTATAAACCGGTCTGGACAGTACTGTTTTACGTTTTTTTTTTCCAACGCCAACGAAACGTGCTGCAGCAAGGAGACATGCAAGCGGTTAGGCGTTCCTTTTCACTGGGAAGGGTGAAAGTGGCAAAACAATAACCCTACAAAATTTAATTACTAAAAAAAAAAAAGACTGAATTTTTTTATTTTTAATTTGGGGTATTTGGTTCAAGAGGATTGGAGGTGAATTTGGAAGTTTGATTGTCAAAAGTTGTGACTTCGATAACACAATATCCTTTCCCACAAATATTTTTTTTTAATTTTACGTGGATTTCTCAGACCAGCTAGAATGTTTTAATTGATTTTACACTACTTATATTCTCTAACTTGTTAATTAAAAATGCTCCATTTGGCACCAGTGAGCATAATTCACAAACTTTGAATTGCCATAGTTGTTTGCCCGTTTGAAATAAGATAATAAGCAACAAATTACATTAAAGCTTAAAAACATTTCATAAAATATCTTCTTTGTATTATTACCACAAATTGTAGTGATGTAGGCCCCCAATAAACACCACCATCACATAAATATGCTATTTAACCATAATAGTCTTTATAGAAATATTACTTTTTCCTTTTAGCATATAAAAAACTGACATCATTATCAAGATAGACATAAACACTGAGTGTAATATAAAGTCCTATGTGTCACCCGTTGCCTTAAAACCACTTCTGTTGTCTGTCTTGGTTTCTTTTTGGGGGTTTTTGTGCTGAGAACAGCGTTTTGTTTTTAATTTATATGTTTTGTGAACATATTTTAAACTCATCACCCATGGCAATATTTTGTAAAATTTGGATAGATTCTGTTATTCTTCTGCTGGGAATAATGCTAAAGCAAATAGCCATCTAAATGCCCAAAAACCCATTAAAGGGCATGTCGCTCATTATTTCACATAACAATTATCTGAGTGCAAAAAGTCAGCCAAGAACATGCAAAAAGGTATTATCAGCACAGATTTTTTCGACAAATACAATATTCTATGTTAGCTCTAAGCTAACATGTATGAAAGACCCTCTCTTTAAGGAGTTTTCTCTATGTTTTTTGAGCTACCAAAACATACTGCATTTTTTTATTAACTGGGCTTTAGTCTTCACGATATGCTATTTATTGTCTCAAAATTCAAAGTAGCCATTGAGAAAACCGTAAATGAAGATGATGCAGAAACCAACATTTAAATTTCCACGCGCTCTCCAGTGTACCGATGTCAGAAACGGTACAAACTTTCAGGTCGCGCAGTTAGTCTCAAACGGAGTATGTCGAGCGTTTTTTCATGCTTTTCAGTAAACGAGCATCCAAGCATTCTTTTTCCACTGTCAGATCTCTTGTAATTTGTTGGGAACATTGTTTACTGCCCACTTTGCACCGTTTCTGTCATCACACTTCAGTATTGCCAGTAGGGGCTCTCGGTTTAAAAAACACAATGAGAACGGAATTCTAAAATTTAATACCTTTGCAATTTTTTTTTTATTTTCACACAATACTTGGGGGGGCTGGTAAATCGGCAACCATAAACAAGTCGCTGGAGTACCCCTTTAAGGGACACTGAACACTCGTAAATATTTTCAGGTGCCGGGATCCGACATGCATGTCACAAAATAAAGCTTCCACTGACAGTTCCTTTAACTCAATAATTATGCAGCGAGACACATCTTGAGTCAGCAGAAAAACCAAACTTAATACCTATACCAAGAAAGTTATTCCAAAATAGAAGTTAGTTTGGGTTTCCCTCCTGAATTATAGCGTGCTTCGTGGCGTAAATATCACGCTAAACACCGTTTTTGTTTTCAGGATAAAGAGGTGACCTGCATGCATAACACCCTAGCTTCCTCGTACAAGCGGGAATAACTTATGTCGCCCACTGAAGCCAGCACACTGAACAGGCTCAGCAACCGGTATACCAGCATGCATCTCCGACTCACACAATAACCGCCATTTTCGAAGACGAGTGGCACCACCTATAGACAGTTGGAGTCGCAAATAGCGATCTGTAGGTTATATTTACTAGATTTAAAAAAGTCTACGAATTGGAGACGCTAGCTATTGAAATTGTATCGAGATGTGGCAACCATTTTTCGAGCAATCGAGAAATTCCCGGAAATAGAGGAAGCAAGAAGACCATGCTAAAATGCTTTCCGTGTATCAACCTTTAGCTCAATTGGCTCGAAAAGATTTCTCACTTACAATTTTAGAGCGCAGCTCTTAGGGGCCCGTTTCCGGCTTGAGCGGCGTCGGAGTAAGCGCGCGGTGCATTATGGGAAATGTCCCATAATGCACCGCCGAGTCACGTGACCCCCCAAGGTCACTTGACCCCCCCCCCCCCCCCCCCAGTACCTTTCCCTCCTCCTCCTCAAGAGCTGCGCTCTAATTCGGTGTTACAGGGAGTTGTAAATGGCTTTCACTTTTTTTGGCTGGAAATATTCCAAAGCCATAGCTTGTGTTTCGAAATTTCAATTGAATGCCCATGACAGTGCAGTGGGAGCTACCTACACAATCGCTTCCACTTCATTTTCTGACCCCGCGCTCTGAGCAAGGGTATGGGGCAGGTGATGTAATAGTGTTGTGAAAGGTAGACAGATCACGTGACCAACAGACACGTAGCTTCCACCTCACTGTCGACTTAGGGGTAAACATAGTGGAGCGCTCTTCAAGTTCGAGTGTCAAGGTGAAGGGGTGGCTTCAAGGAAGAGGGACAGTGGGGGAGCCTGGAGGCACAGCTTTTTAATTTTTCAGCGGGTTTACTAAGTGGCCGCTGTACTAATCTTTTCTAATCCTAAGCGGCGACGGGAAAAGGAGGGGTTATTTCCATGTTTTGAACCCTTAGATCCGAGAGCAACACAGGAGGTGTGCTCCTCCGAGTCAACCAACTGGCAGAGAGAGGAAGGCGGTTGCTTATATAGTGATTGCCTCCTCTCCCCCCTCCGACATGCCCCCAGCCAATCCCAGAAGGGAATGGGCGGAAAAGAAGTGCGGAAGGCGTGAGGGCATGTCGGCGGGGTTCTGCGTCGTTGGGAGCCACTTTGCTCTTAGGTCTTTCTTTATTGTTAGTGCCGTCATGGCTACAGTCAAAGTCCACGGAAGGGCACGGAGATGTCCACTCGTGATGGCACACCGCAGGGCACGGTTGTCCGTGAAGATCAGGGACGAGGGCGGTGCGAGGAGGGCCGCAAGGGTCCAGGCGACGGCTTCCCTCAAGTAGATGCGTGGGTCCGGCGTTGTCAGGATGGCGAGCGCGGAAGATGGGGTCACTACACCAAGTCCGTCGTTCGAGGCGTCCGCAAAAAGAAAGTGCACAGGCGGTACGGGGACGAGCGGGAGGGTGTGCGGTAGGGTGCGCCAAAGTTCTTTGAAAACAAGAAGCCACTGGAGAGGGGGGGGGGGGGGGGGGGTTGTAAAAGTCGAGTCGAAAAGCGGCCGAAGGGCGCTATAGCCAGATCTATACAATGAAAAGTAAAAGGCCCAGAGACCTGCTAGGCGGCCGTATTGGGCACGAGAACATGGGGTCCTTAGCAACGGGAGAGTGTCCGCCAGGCACTGAATACGTTGGGGTGTGTGCCCGATCGTGGAAGTGACAGTGTCCAAGCAAAAGCCAAGGAACTTAATGGTCTGGCAGGGTAGGAGACTAGTGTCCTTGGGGTTAATACGGAACCCACACGCAGTTAGCTGTTGCACAAAAAGTTGTGTCTGTTGTCTAAGGAACGAGGGATCTGGGTGTGCGAGAAGAAAGTTATCTATGTACGCCCACGCCCAGATCCCGCGTGACCGAAGGGTACGAGAAAATGCAGTTGCAAGAGACTGCATTAGAAAGGGCGCCGGTCGGAGACCGAACGGTAGACGCGTAAAAGAAAAATAGGCGCCGTCAAGGCGAAATGTTGTAAGCCGTTGAGCAGAAGGGTGAAGAGATACATGATAAAAGGCCTCCGCCAGGTCCACCTTAGTAAAGTATGCATGTTTGGGAAGGGGGACCTGGAGGAGGACTTTAGGTAGTGGGTCAAGGCGAAATGGTGGCGCACTGAGATGCGGGGTAAGATGGCTAGCATCCAAGATGAACCGCGACTCTGTGGCGGACTTTGGTGCCAACTGTATTGGACTGAGATAGGGTCCGCGGTGAGTACGCCTGAGGATGCCGGAAGTGGCCATCGAAGCGACTGCAGCGCGCAGAATGGGCAACTGGTCGGAAGGGGGGGGCGGTTGTTGACCACCGAGGTCGCGGTGCAGCGGATCCTCAAGTTGGCGTAGTCGGCGGGAGGGAAGAACCCAAAGGTTTCGGAGGTAAGATCCCAGTTAACAACTGGGGGAGGAGCACTGGCTCGTACTGGTTGCCATGGAAGGCCAGGTAAAATGGGAAGACGGGAGTCTTCCTCAGGCGACTCATCGTCCCCGTCAGAGGGCTCATCAGAGTTTTGGTCCTGTAGCCACCGCAGGATGCGGTCGGCCACGAGGACCCAGGTGTCCTCCTCCTCCGTCTCCGAGGAGGAGAGGGAGGAGGAGGACAAGGAAGGGGCCGAAGAGGATGGAGCTGGCGAGGCTCGTCCTTGCAAAGGAATGTCAGCGGCTTTAAGCGCTTGGAGAAGGAGGTCTGGCGGATCTATAACATCCTGAACAACAGCCACTATGTGTTGGCCGGCAATGGATACTAAGACTGGTTGAGGTTCATGTAGGACTATGTCTAGGGGGTCTATGAGTTCTTGCACAAGAGGGGGAGGTAAGTCAGAACTCACCACTGTGGGTGGCGGTGTGTCGGGGAGGGGTGCGTAGTCCACAGAGTCCCACAGGGGGAGACGCTGGAGCAGGGAGTCAGGAAGGGATGCCGTCGTCCGTCGCAAGGGCGGAAACAGATCACTCAGCGGCGTCGGGGGCGTCGCGAGTGCGGGTGGCGGGCTGGCGTGGACGGCCGCCACGGTTTGCGGTACCTCTTCCTCTGTTGGTTGGCCGGGAGGGCCTGTCGGATGCTGGAGGGGGGGCCTGTGGAGTGGGGAGCGGGGCTCCCAAAAGGTAGGAGGCCGTGGGGTCAGCATACCCCTGGAGGGCGGCTTGCCATCCTGTGAGCGCGACGTGGTAAAGGAGCCGCACCCTGTCGAAGACTCTGAGTTTTGCGGAGGCACGGAGGGAGGGGTCGGAGTCCCAGACCTGGAGGAAAAGCTCCAAGGTCTGGAGCTCGACCACGTCTCGAGTTCCGAAGAAACGTGACTGGCGGCTGGCTCGGTCCACGTACAAGAGGGCGTTGCGGAAGTCCCGGCGTGTCGGGGGGTCGTGCGTGGTGAAGAGCCGTTGCCCACGGCTGCCGGTCGGGGCCCGGGATGGACGGATATGTCTTGGATACTGACGGTCTCGGCGCGGCGGGGTGTCACCGCTGCTACTGGAGCTGTGGTCTGAGTCGTCCGGGCTCGGTACCGGCCAGCGGGGTCTTGGCTGGAGGGATATCCTCTGAAGATGAGGTCCTCCTCGTCGTCGTTGGTCGTCGTGCCGGCGATGGGCTGAGCCACCTCGGAGATACGAGCACGTCGGGAAGAAGGCGCCTCCGGGAAGGCAGCCCTAAGGGCGAGTGTGAGGGCGGAGACGAGCTCCTGGGTTGCCGGCGCCGGGGTGCCGGAGGGTCTGGAGGCCACCGGGTTGGATGGCGGAGCGGGAATGGAGCTGAAGGGGACCCTACTCTGAGGGCCAGGCGGCGTAGCTGCTGGCACAGGGCTTCCATCCTCGGGTGCCCCACTTCTGGATGTGGGTGGGCGGGCTGATTGAGATCGGAGGGATCTCTCGGCTTTTCTTGGGGGCATCGGATGGCGTCCGCGCGTTGTCTTGAGGTCTCGACGGCCCCACTGAACCCTTAGATCCGAGAGCAACACAGGAGGTGTGCTCCTCCGAGTCAACCAACTGGCAGAGAGAGGAAGGCGGTTGCTTATATAGTGATTGCCTCCTCTCCCCCCTCCGACATGCCCCCAGCCAATCCCAGAAGGGAATGGGCGGTGAGAAGAAAAAGAGGGCTGGCGAGGATGTGCTCCCTCCTGTCTTTTTGTCGGTCAACCTTGTGGGTTTCTTTACGGAGATCCCTCTACTAGTAATCACCGCCCGATCGGTATGCGGTCCGCCCGTCACCAAGGGAGTTACACACTGCAACGAGAAGACAATGAATGGGTTTACTGTACCTCTCGGTTGCCCGTCGTCGAGAGCCGGTAGTCCCGGCCCGCCGACCTTTGTTGTCGCCCGTCGATCAGAACTCACAGTCGGGGTCCGTGTCCAGGCCTGCAAATCGCCTTTCCCACGCCGGCGCTGCGTAGGCTGGCCGTCCCGAGCTATCAATGCCCGAGTCTCGCTGCGGAACCACCCCGGGATCGTCATAGCCCAGGTCATATGGCCCGGGCTCGCCGTTTCCACCGGTCTTGCTCCAGACCTCGCTGGTGGACCGCTCCGGGGTTTGTTATGGGCCAGGCCAGGCAGCTTGGCTTCGACGTTCCTTGTCCAGCTACCAGCCTCGCTCAACTCGCACTGTCTCGCCTAGCTCGTGCCTTCTCCGTCGACCGCCTGTCACGTGCCCTCTGCCTCGTCGTTCACCCTCGGCTCCCACAACCTAAGCATCATTTTAGCAGATGTGAGCCTCTCATTGATGCATGATTATGAGCCAAACAGTCCTTACTCTGCATTATTGTTTAAAATGCTTCTAGGCTTCTGTACAGATGTATCACGTCACTCCCAAGTACTAAAGGGGTTCCCTGGTCGTCTATGAAGAGAAATTAAGTTTTCTCGAGAAATTGAGAACCCCTGCACTAACGTCTACAAAAAAAAAAACAATGCATCTCATGTTTTTTTGTTTTGTTGTTGTTGGAAGCATAGCAGCTGGAATGAATTGCATCTAACATTGCATAAATCAAATGGGGTGGGGTACACTTTGGAATTTTAACTCTGTGGATATTTAGCTAGAAACACGGCATGAGCGATTTCTCAGAGGATCATGTTTATAGTACATAGGTTTCTATGGAATATTCAAATAGTCAGGAGCTCACAGGTGCAAACATCCTTGAGAAATGAATTGCTGGAAAATAAGCCCTTCCTGTATTGTCGAAAGCTTTATTGGCATTGTTATTTTTTTCCATACTATACTTTTTTTATTTATGGTTCAATAAAAAAAAATCAAAGCCGTTTACAACTCCCTTTAACGCCGAATTGGAGTGCAGCTCTTGAGGAGGAGCAGGGAAGGGTACTGAGGGGAGGGTAGACCCCACCTCCCTCCGTGGGGTATACCCTCCCCACGGGGAGGTCACGTGACCTTGGGGGGGACTCCGCTCAAGCCGGAAACAGGCGCCTAAGAGCTGCGCTCTAAAATATGTCTAGGATTCTGCTGTATATAAATCTCTATAACATAACGTGCGTCGAGCGTTTCCTTTTTTTTTTTCGTTGCAGTTAATGTGAAACTATTCCAACCTGCTTAAGTTTTTAATTGGTCAGGGTTTACTGCAGGTCTTTGACATATGTACATCTGTCTCCTGTAAGGTGTATGTAACTTTTCCCCTTCCTCAGTTGGAAACAATGGAAGTTGTCCATTCTGTCTTTTCAACAGAGCCGGTCGATATGGCAGGGGAGAGCTCCGACTGTGGGGGAAGCAACAGCTTGTCCTCTTCCAAAGAACGATCGGACCAGGAATGTCTGGACAAACAGGTGAATCCAAGAGATGGCTGTGTTTTCGGAACCTGGTCCAGCATCTCCACAAGCAAGATCATTGTGATTGAGGGCACACAGACGGAAGAAGGGTCTGAGAGGCATTGCTTAACTACTTCTGAAAGGGTTCACACTGATGAAAGGCCCTTTAAATGCTTCGCCTGCCCTAAAGCATTTAAAACAAAGTCATGCTTGACGAAGCACAAGATATCTCACAGCGATGAAAAGCCATTTAAATGCCCCATCTGCCCTAGAGCATTTAAAATAAAGTCATACTTGACTGTGCACAAGATATCTCACAGTCATGAAAGGCCATTTAAATGCCCCAGCTGTCCTAAAGCATTTAAAATAAGGCGAAGCTTGATTGTGCATAAGCTATCTCACAGCGATGAAAGGCCATTTAAATGCCCCAGCTGCCCTAAAGCATTTAAAACAAAGTCACTCTTGACAAAGCACAAGCTATCTCACAGTGATGAAAGGCCGTTTAAATGCCCCAGCTGCCCTAAAGCATTTAAAATGAAGTCAAACTTGACTGTGCACAAGATATCTCACAGTCATGAAAGGCCATTTAAATGCCCCAGCTGCCCTAAAGCTTTTAAAATAAAGTCAAGCTTAATTGTGCACAAGCTAGCTCACAGCGATGAAAGGCCGTTTAAATGCCCCAGCTGCCCTAAAGCATTTAAAATAAATTCAAGCTTGACGAAGCACAAGCTAGCTCACAGCGATGAAAGGCCGTTTAAATGCCCCAGCTGCCCTAAAGCATTTAAAATAAATTCAAGCTTGACGAAGCACAAGCTATCTCACAGTGATGAAAGGCCGTTTAAATGCCCCAGCTGCCCTAAAGCATTTACAATAAAGTCACGCTTGACGGAGCACAAGAGGTCTCACAGTGATAAAAAGTGGTTTAAGTGCCCCTTGTGCGCAAATTTGTACCGTAGCAGAGCTTCCCTGAGTGTTCACAAGAGTCTTCACCACAGAGATGAAAAGACCTTCAAATATGGAACCCTTGAAGGAGCATTTGCAAAGAAACAGCTCTTGACCCATCATGAGCTAATTCATGCGGGCCCAAGGCGCTTCATGTGCTCCACCTCTTCGGAAGAGTTTCGTTTTCGGTCTAAGATGAATGCTCACGAACCTATTCACGTGCCTGTGGCTTTTAAATGCCCCACCTGTCCGAAATTATTCCGTGCGAAGTGTTACTTGGATGTTCACGAAAAACTTCATAAAAATGAAACGACTTGTCTAAGAGACATCTGTCAAAAGTCGCACATTAGTAGTCACAAAACAGTTAATGAGTATAAAGAAACTAGCAGATCTGACACGTGTGACAAAGTTTTTGAACAGGAAGCAGGACCAAGTAGGGTCCAGGCTATGCATAAAGATGAAAGGCTACTTAAACGTGGCACCTGCTTAAAAGAGTTCAAGGTAAAATCGAGCTCGAGTGAGTCGCATTTGACTGCCCGTGGAAAGATTCACCAAAATGAACTGACCTACAGACCTGGGACTCATGCTATAGCAGTCACTGACCAAGAGCACCTGAATGCTCACCAGGCTGTTCACAAGAGTGAAAGTCTATCCAAATGTCCCATCCAGCCAAGAGCGTTTAAACTGAACTTCCCTCTTCAATCAAAGCTTTTTTTTCAGATGAAGCTTCCCTTGAATCTCCTTTCAAATTACAAGGGTACAATCTACAAATGCAGTACTTGCACCATGGCATTCACTGATGAACAGCACTTGAATGCTCACCAGGCGGTTCATACAGGATGAATGCCCTACAGTGCATCACCTGTCGATGAGTTTCACAGAATGTCTACCTAGCATTGTTATGAGTTTGAGGCTATGCATTTGATACCTGTGAACTGGCTTCAGATGAAGTAGGAGCTTAGAAGTGCATGATTCGTGTATAAATGTGTACAAACCTGTGCCCACTTTGAGGTGTGCGAAATGCCAAAGCCTTGTCGAAAGGAAGCTCTTGCTGCCGGCGGGACAATTGAAGCTTCTACCTGCTATTCTCACCTTGTCAGTGACTATTGTGCGTTTTTGTTAAAAACAGTGACACATGTCAGTACATTATGATCAAGCATCGGTTTTTACAAGAGCTGACCCATCATCTCACTATTTTTGTATATAAAGAAGGGAGAATGCTCTACATTCCTCTCACATGGCTGCTTATTAGTAAAAAGAAATGTCTGTCAGAGACGAGGTGTTTGTTGTGACATGATTTTGAGTGAAGTGTTGCTAGATCCTAGAATAGAAAGGAAGAACTGGAACATTTTTTGGATAACATTGACATGCTATTAGGCTATACCTTGTTTTAGTGTGTTATTTTATTCAGAGCACCTTTCTGTATCGAAGAGGCTGCATTTTGATTTCAAAGTAAAGAAACTCTGCTTTTGGAATTATGTCCGATGCGAGTCAGTGCATTACATATAAAGCCGCACCTGCTGTGGAACCATTGTCGGAGGACTTCGCTGTGTTGCAGCCCTCCCATCATTCAACTACTGCTGTGTTCCAGTCCTCCCATCATTGCCCTCTTTCAACTTGGAACTCCCTAGGTGTCTACACTAGAGATGGGGCTATAAACAATTCTGTATTTATTTTTTTGAACAATGTGTATTAGCAGTTTGACCTGTTTGGCACGTCATATAGTTTACTCGTAATCCTTGAATACATTGAAAACAAGCTGGGGAGGTTATGATTACCAGATTCTTGACTTTGCTATGTTGTATGTATGTTTTATGCGGATAATTGAATAAATAAATGCTTTTTACTTTAGTTGCTCCTACTGACGTCTGCCTCTAAAAACAAACTGTTGCTTACTGCTTTCAAGATTATATCAGGCGTTTCTGCTAATAGTTTCAGAAATCCCTACGATAAAAATGGTTAAGCAAAAAAGAAGAAAAAAAAAACTTGGGAAGAACCTGTCGGTCAAAGTGCTCGCGGCACTTGCGGTCCAGAAACAAGACGTCAAGTAGCGACCGAAGTGGGGGGCGGGGGGATGGGGGGGGGGAAGGTATGTGTTTTTTTTTCATTCTTAGACGATTTAAAGAATACTGCACACAACAGCTCCACATCACTGGTCAGTGCTGGCTTATTATCAACTTACTTAATTGCACTTGACGTTTGAGCTCAGCTCGCCTAATAGTGATTGGTCGACAGATTGCACTAGATCATATGGGCCGCGCTTCAAAGATTTTTATTCTCGCCGTCTTGTACTTTAGCCTCCGAAAACCCTTCTTGCTCCACAGCGTTGCTCTATTCATGCTCCCATGTGATCCGTTATAGTAGATTTGGAGCATAGCCATGGTTAAAGGGGCCCTGCAATCATATTTAAGCGTCTGCCTTTCTTGCGGTTTCCACATCCCTCGGGGTTCAGGCAAGCCAGCGGGCACGGAGAGGGCGACTAAATATCAGTGCGTCATATTTTAATCGGACGACACGGAAACCTCCTCCACCTACGGGGGTGACCCGCGGTGCCGAAAGCGCGCAATATGTGAGGTCCTGGGCTTACTACTGGTCAGAGCTGCTATAAGCTTCTTTTCTGTCGAAATACAAAATATAAGTGGCACGAACTGTTTCAATTATTTATAAAAGTAGTTTTTGTTCACTATTTTAGATCGGAAAAGAAACAAATAAATACAGTTTAGAAAGTATGGAAACAAGAAATGACCCGTCGACATACCCGCCACCAAGCGGCGGAAAAGGCGGTGCATACTAGAAAGGTGTAGTGGGATCGGACACCAAGGAGCAAGGAGCGTAGCAAGGTCCCAGATGTGCATGGCGGCACTGCGGTCATACGGACTGGGGGATCCGACCAGTTCCGAGCATTCGCAAGGCCTTTGGCGAGCAGCTTTGGCTTGCGGTTTGGCTTTTTTGGCGGTATGGCAGCGCGAAGTGGCTCTCGTTCTGAAGTGGTCTTTACCCCGTGTTTGCTGTCGTTTGTGGCCAACGAAGTGTCATGCCTAATTAGTGTTGAATCACGCAGCACATGCAATGCGAGCCGCCTTGGCTGCCCGCTTCATACAACCTATCCAGAGCATGCTTTAGTTGCGCCCTCTCGAGCCGCCGACACGGAGTGCCGCAGCCGTGAGCGCTAGTTCACGGCCACTCAAGCAACCAAGGATGTCTTCAAGGGGGTTATTTTTTGCTTGTTTTTGTAATTTTAATTTGCCTATAACTTTTAAAATAAAGCGAAATTCGAGAAAATAAAAGTTTCATTAAGTTACTACGTTCAGTGCGCTCAGGTTCGGTGTTACGTCCTCCTAACGATATCTGACTACTTCAGCAGCGTCAGCGAAATTAACGAGGCTCGTTACACCGCAAAACTTCGCGTGAATAATCTGACATGCGGCGATTCATTCCGCGTGGACGCCGCAGAATGTACGCTAAAGCCTGATTCACATGATGAGATTTCGCTCGCAATTTTCAGTAGCGACGTCGCTCGGACTGCAAAAGCGTGAACCGTAGCTGAGATGGTCGACGTTGGTACTGAAAATCGCAAGCAGAATCTAACCAAGTGAATCAGGCATAACAAGTCGGTGATGGCCACTGGTAAATGATCAACACCTCCTTGTATCTACTGTTTACGTCGAGCCTGCTTACCAACCTTCAAACTCAAGCCTTTTGAGGCCTGCACTTACTTCTTATCGCAAGTACCGGGCCCACGTTTGGTCTGCGGGCCGGTGTCCTCTAAAAGAGCAGACGACAAGCAGAAACGTTTTGAAGAGCAGACGACAGTTCGAACGATCAGGCAACCGTTTGAACTTGAAGACGCACTGAACGTAGTCCGCAGGTGGTCCGTACAACTTGACGGTTTTCCGGCATTCATTTTGGAACAAAACAAATAAATCTGATGGCCAGAAGTATCCGTGAATTCAACCCAAAATGCTTCCCGCCCAAACAATCGTGGTCCGACGGCGTCTGGTTTTCTTTTTTCATGGCACATATCCACGTTCTCGGACGAACCGAGCATGAAAACTGACCCTCAAACCTTTCTCAACCCTTTTGGTACAGCCCCAGTCGCAGCATTTTGACAAGAATCAGGTTTTTGTCTGGTTTCTTTCAAAACAACGCAGGAATACACGTCTCAGATGGGCACTTCCGCCCACAGCCCCGGACCGGAAGTGCGTCCGACACGCTACCACCGCGCCGTGACGTAACAGAGATGAGTTGGTGCACACGCATTTGACCGCAACGCCCTCTCCTGTATGTTGAGGGGCTACATGCAACGTTTCATCCATGACTTCCCCAGCTCTTGAGTTACTACCACATCTCGGAGCACCCTACTCGTCCCGCAGTCGTGGCCGAGTGGTTAAAGACCGACGACCAGTTCGCGCTTTCCACTTTTCGCCCGCTTCATGCTCTCCCCCTTCTACCCTGTCCAATGTTGCCCATTTCCCCCTCCCCATGGTGAAAAGGATCTTCTGCCTTGCAGAAGATTAAGGCGATGGACTAGAAATCCATTGGGGTCTCCCCGCACAGGTTCGAATCCTGTCGACTGCGCAAACATTTTTTTCTTTTTTTAAGAAGAGAGCTATGGGATGGCAATCGATGTGAGCACGGACGCCGGACAAGGCTAGACCCTAAGGAGCTTCGCCCCTAAAAGTAACTAGTTACCGGTAATGCGTTACTAGTAACAAGACTGGCTTTGCCGTCGCGCTTTATGGGCGATACAAATTTCGTAGCGAAGTTGCAATCGAGTGGCGCACATGCAGCTGCAGCAGCTTCCGCATCTGCTTCTCAGTACAGCTGGCAATGGTGGCCGGCCGGTGGGAGGGAGTAGAGGAAGTGACATCACGTGAGAACTACGCTTACTGCCACCAACGACTGCAACACTGCTCACAGAAATATTGTGCTTTGTCATTTAATGCTAAATTTCATGTGATGCCCTTCAATATTCTGCAAATGTGGTGTCTGTAATGACATTGTGATGTTAGGTTCCGTGAAAACTGTCCAGGCTGTCCAAATCTAAGCTGTTCCGTTTGCCGTTGCGGCATCACTAGCAGCAATGCCAGCAAGAGGATATTAAACGAAGAAATGTGCAATTGTACGCTATTAGGTTCGCTTCTTAGAAGGCTTTCAGCAAACAATGCTGTCAAGTTTTAGCGTAGGTGAAACTCGACAATAAAAACACAGACCATGCATTCGGCTGCGTTCCGAAATTTAGTCTATCCTAATCCAGGGCAGGGTGTAAGATAGACAACGAGAGCCAAATAAGCGACTGGATTGTGTACTCGGTTTTCTCTTTTTCTGTGGCGCCACCTATGTGGAGTACCGCGAACTCTCACTCCGGGTGGGCGACCGGCTAAATTGACGGAGATGGTTTCTCGTGGATTTTCAATGGAGGACTGTCGTGCTCTCGGTTTATTTTGCGCACTCTCTCGTAAAGTTCCACGCAAGATCCGATTCCTATTTTTTTTCTCGCGCCGCAGCGCCATCTGTTGCAAATCGGGGGTACCCGCAAGCAGGCGAGTACACAATCCGGTCACTGCGCTGCGGTAGGCTTCTATGGGCCGTTTCCCCACCAGGGTAAGCGTTTTGTACAAGGAGGATAGAAGGGTAGGAGAGGGCATGACGTCGGCCGCGTAGCCTCCACAAGCCATGCTCCCTTGCTGCCTCGCCTCTTTCTCATTTTCCTCCTTACTCTTCTCACTTACCATGCCAACGTGACCGCATCACAGATTGAAAAACGTCCAGCGTTTTTCAATCTGTGTTGTCACGTGACACGAGCTATTGTGTCGTCTGCTACGAATCCTTACGAATCCTCACATGGTGGCGCCCCCAAATAGCGTTGCGCAGGCGTTGCGGCGACGGAGCGCCACCGCCACCACTGCTTCGACGGTCAGCCGGTCAGCCAGGTCAGCCCCACAGGTTAGCTGGGTTAGCCCCACTGCTCCCAATCGGCGCTCGCCATCCAGCCCCTGTGACCTCCACCGTCACGCAACACAATCCGCACTCGGAGTGTGGATTGTGTTGAATCCATCTGCTCACGGAATGCGGATTAGAATCAACCACTATCCTCACTCGGGGTGCTCAGGAGGAACGGCGCGAAGGCAGCTCGCGCGGACTGCGTTCTCGCGGTCGGCGGCACAGTCAGCACCACAGTGGTCAGCACAGTGGTCGGCGGGGTCCGGAGCCTGACCGAAAAGTCCGGTCAGAGTCTGCAGGTGATTCCGACGTCGTCCAGAAACTTTAAGACTCGACGGTCGACCGCGGGCCAGCGCAGCCTCGGACGTCGCAGGTAGGCTTAGCTGAACGTATCTTTGTTCCGGGGTCCATATCAGAAGAGCGAATGACATTTTAGCGAAAGGCGACATTTGAGCGAATGGTCGTTTTAGCGAATAACCTGGGCCCGCGTTAACCCATCCGTCGCGCTGCGCTTTACGCCGCTTCGCGGCGACAGTCTACGGGGTCCATATCACAAGAGCGAATGACATTTTAGCGAACGGCGACATTTGAGCGAATGGTCGTTTTAGCGAATAACGGGGGCGCGCGTTAACCCATCCGCCGCCCTGCGCTTTACGCCGCTTCGCGGCAACAGTCTGCGGCAACTCATTACAAAAATATGAACTCACTTGGCCCACCCGAAAACGCCGCTTCGCGGCGTCCGACTATTCGCTAATGTGTCGTTCGATGAAACGTGGGCGTTCGCTAAAACGTCATTCGATCAAGTGAGTGCCTCCCGTTTGGTCACTCACTGGAAGGCGATTTCCAACCCGCGATCCCGGAGCCGCAGGGTGAGCGACACGACGGAGCGGGCGAGCGGTGGGGTGTCGTCGTCGGGGCGGAGTAGATGCCGCTGTGCCGTTATAGCCGCGTCCCACTAGAGCGACAGACAGCAACAAGCGACAGCGACACACGACAACGAGCGACAGACGACACCGACAGACAGCCTGTTTGTCGGAGTCCGCCGTCCCACCTGGCGGACACGACGCAGAACACGGGGGCAAGAAAACTTGTTTCCTAGTGGGACTGGAGTTGTCAACAAAACACTTCAGAATACAAAGACAAACAGAGTCTGGCGACGCGGTTTTCGTGTTTTGCTCTTTGGGCATAAAACGCGCCGACAAACACGGGGAAAGTGGAGACGATTACTTTATTTCTTGATTAAAGCTTCCGCTTCTCTTCATTTGCCGTTGGCGACTTTCCGTAAACAGTCGTGACAATCGACACCAAACTTTTTCCGAACTAGAAATACCCGAATCGTTCTTTTTTTTTTCTTTTTGGCCGTTCGAGGCATTCTAGGTGAGCGCCACGGAGTTTTACGGTGGTTTTGAGGATCTTTATAACTTCTTATTCGAATGATCGAGGGCAGGCGGACAATACGGCATCCCGATTATCACAAAACGTGATGAAAAGTCTCTCGTCTGCCGGAATGGCTTGCCGCGGAACGTCGTGTCCTACTTCGTGGTGAGCGGTCTTACTTTGGTCAGTCCTCGCACATGGGTGTATCCATCCTGATGCAGGGGCGTAAACTTCGGCGTCTTGAAGCACCACCTCGCGCACCAAGTTTTCGCGAGCAAAACCAGCCACTGCAAATTTCCTTTCGCAACACGACTGCCCGGCGCCAGCCAGCAAGCCGCGCCCGCGACCACTACGTGCAATCGAGGGACCGGAACTGCGGGGCCGGGAACGAGGAGTGGCCGCCAAGGGCTTCTCGTTCCGGGAGGAAGGGTAGAAGGGTGGGAAGGGAGGCAACAGAAGGCATAAACGGGCGAGGAGGATAAGTTTGTCTCCGAGAGATGTTCCTCAGTGGGACTGCTTGCTGCGTTCCAAGTCCAACGACAGACAATAACTCGTCCGTCGTCGATCTTTTGTCGGCGCTTGTCGGCGATTGTCGCGGGTGTCGGTCGTTGCAGTGGGACAGCATCGGCGACACGGAACTTTGTGGTGTCGTCGGACAAAACTCGGTGTTTGTCGCTCTAGTGGGACGAGGCTATTAGAGTCCGACGGGACGACCGCCCTCCCAGGCAACCACGGTAAGAGCTTCCGGAGCCCAGTCTCGATCGCCGTCAGCTTCGTCGTCGTCGAGGAGGCGAGCCAGCGTCCGATGCCGTGCCTCTCGCGGGGTCGCCATAGCCATCTGTGTAGACTTGCAGCCAGTCCGCCATCTGCCCGGTCGCCGGCCAGGTGCTGAGCACCAGCTGCCTTGTGACGGCCGTGTCCTGCGCCCTCTTGCTGGTCATGTTGGCAAGGTCCAGCGACACATCGACCTGCTGGGACCCGAAGAAGGAGGGGGCAGTGACGTCTGCCCTGGGGGTCCAACAACCTCCATGTGCCTCCTTAAGAGCACCTCCATCCGGGTCTTGGGGCATCGTCGCATCCTCTCCACTAGGGTGGCAGTGTCTGGCCGGCCGACAAGCTGCGTCGGGTCATTCAACGTGTGCCTCTCGCCGTTGTTGAGAACAGTGTTCCTCCCCGCCTTGAGGAGAGTCTGGGCCGAAATGGCATACCTGTGGGCATCAAAACACACCTGGAGTCCCACCCGCTGCAGCGTCTCAAGCTCCTCCCTCTGCAGTCTTTTCAGAGACAGGAAGGGCAGCGCATAATCCAGGCCCAGATACAACTACAACATCATGGCAGTGAAAGTGCCCTGTGGAAGTCGTCGACACAGTGGAGGTGGGACCGGGTTCTTGCGATGATGGTGGTCATGGCTGGCCTCTAACCGCCTGGTCGATGGCAAGTCCAAGGGACGTCATCGTCGGGGTGATCTTGACTTCAGGTCCAAGGAAGGTTAGCTGCCACGGCACTTCAACAAGTCGCCACTTATGTATGAGGGAGAGTCTTCTTGGTGGAAAACTTTAGTCCAGCAAGGGAGGTGGCATAGGCCAAGCCAACATTCTCAATGGCTTTCTGAAGCACCCTTCCCAGTGTGTTCAGTCTTCCCCTGTGGCTTGAAGCCCACAAGGCGACATCGTTGCCCTGTGGACTTCGACTGCTTGTGGGCCGAAGCTCAATCGAAAATTGGCGCCTCCACATGGCAGTCTAAACTTTTTGTCAGTGGTGTATTTCACACGTGGGTTTTACCTTGTAAAATTGCAAGGTGTAGCTCCCTTTTTGTAATTAAGGGGGCCAAACACTTACTACGGTCAACGTCGGATGGCGGCAGAGACGACAGTTAAGTGGTGGGGTGCATTCGGTGCACATATTCATAGATGGTGCTACCTCCGTGTTCCAACTTTAGTTCTAGCTGTCTCTTAAAAAAAACAAAAAAAAACATAGAAATTGTCTGCTACACCCGTGGTCTATTAAAATAAACATTATTTTTGTAATGCACCTTTGGTTTCAAAATAAATGCAGACAATGGTGGCACTCCCGCTGAAAATTGATTTCATCTGCTTTCACTGGTCATAATACAGGCTTGGTCAGCTACACAAGTATCGCCATCTTTCAATGTGTGCCCCACACGCGCTTCGCCACTCGACTCTGTCATTTGTATTGCCATCCACTGTTGACTCTGCCAAGTTTTTTGGCCCCATTTTTTTTACAGAATGGGAGCTATACCTTGTAATTTTACAATGTAAACACCATCTGTGAAATACACCTTTTACGAAAAGTTTAGATTTCTATGTGCAGGCGCCGATTATTATGGCTCATTTTAATTCAAGCTTCTGCCGCCTCGTTGGCTCCGAGGCGAGAGCGCCGGCCTACGGATCCCCATGTGGCGGGTTGGAATCCCAGCCGAGGTGCCCGCAATCTGACGGAGGCTTATTGCGGAGAAGGCGCCGTGTAACCGAGCTTTCGGTTGCACATCAAAAGATCTCCAAGTGGTCGAAATTAATCCTCAGTCCGCTGGGGCGTGCCAAATGCTCGTCGTTGGTTTGGCATGTAAAACATCCAAATTTGACTTACGGTAGATCAAGTTTCTGCATTTCAGGCGCTCTAAATAACCAACTCGCCCAGCAGATCATTTTCAAACAAACTCGCTATAAGTAAACTAGCATCTTCGATTCAAGTTTGTGAAAGGTGAGGAACACTCATCCCCATTACGAAAATACAAGTCTGGTATTGCATAGAGGGATATGTGGAAGGTTGTCAATGGGCTTTGATTATAATGTACCTCTACTCTAGCACAGTGGTTCTCAACCATTGGTTTTACGGACCCCTTGTGGATCGGCGGAGACGATGGAGGACCCCGTTCCTAATGAGGGGAAGGAAAAGGTATATATAGGTTAATTATGATAATGATTTAATAAATGGATATAACTGAGGGCTAGTGTGAACCAGATTTCTCTCATTGGCTTACACACGTTTCTTCTCAATCTAAAAAAAAAGTAGGACGGTAAAGCATTTAAGAGTTGTGAATGCGAAAGCATGAATATCATTCTTTTGCTTTCTTAGTTCGCCTGCGGTGTCGTGGCATGGACGGCCGCATTTTGCTACTGCCGAGGTTGTGGCCGCCGATGATGTAGATGCGTCGGGTAGCCCGAAGAGGAGCGGAAGTGGTCGAACCCCGTGGTTGAACCCTCCCCTCCGGCAATGCGTGACTCGAGAGTGGCAGCCAAGCACGCCCCTTCCTGGCGTGCAAGCCAGAGCGCCAGGAAGAGGGCTTCTTCGTGGGGTGGCATTCCTTAGAACTATGCGTGCCCTCCCAGCCAATGGTTATCTAGGAGCTGTCTTGCTGGGGATTTCTTTCACGTTGTGCAGTTTTGCTCAACCACAGACGCCGCTGGTTCCTGGGGCTTTCTTGCATGTTTTGCGCGGTTACAGATGCTGCAGGATTCTTGAACATTTTCACAGTTGCATATGCCGCCGGCTCCGCTCCATGGGACAGTTAATGCTTTCGCATTAAAAAAAACTTTTCTTGCCGGGCTTAACTTATGAGAAAGGGCTACGCGGACCCCAATGAGCTCATAGACCCCCTTTGGAGAACCACTGATCTAGAGCATAACTGCTTTAGGTGCAACAAATGTACCGTGTGCACAAAACAAACCTTGGATCTTTGCATTCGTCACGTTAGAACAAGCCAAGAAAGACAGGGTAGCAGACGCAGTTTAAAAGGATAGTGAACCAAACATTTTAGTGTCTATTATAGGTGGCGCTTAACCTTTGCACGAGCCAGCAGCCAACGATATGCACGAGTACACGCAACGAAAGTGAAGTCAGTCCTCCATTAACGTTTAAGATGGCAGTGAAAATAAAGACGGGCTTTTCATCTCCACAAGTGAAAGCTACATGCTTGTTAGACCAATTAATCGCCTACCTTTTACACCAGACCATACTGTGGAGAGAAAAGTCTTTCTTTATTCTCCTTTTCACCATAGCCCACACATTTCACTGTCACATGTCAGGCAGGTAGCCAGGATTTTGTTTCGGGGGGGGGGGGGGGGGTTTTGCTTATGACAAAATGCTGTATGAGGGGGAGGGGGGAAGAGGAGGGTCCCAGCAAAAATGGAAAATTTGGGGGGGGGGGGGGGGGGGGGGGGTTTGGGCCCCATGGGCCCCCCCTTGGCTACGTGCCTGTCACATGTCACCGTCATGGAGGACTATGACGTCAATTTCGTTGCATGTGCTTGCACACACAATCGGTTGCTGGCTCGTGGAAAGATTGTGTACCACTTAATATGGACACCGAAATATTTGGCATAGCATTCCTTTAGGTTTCAAACCAGCATTTGCATCTCATATGGCTCTTATCAACTAAAAAAAGAATATTGCGGGCATGTTTTGTGGAAAATATGGTTCCTGCTTTCAGTGATGCAGCCAGATTCATAATTTAGCGGCGATTCAGTTTAGTTTGTGTCTTCTGCTCATAAAGATGCATATTTTGTTCTCCGTTGCCCACGAATCATGAAGGAGAATTCAGTTGACTTATGTATACATGCATTGTACATGCCACAATTCACCCTTCTAGGGTCAGCATCATTCATGCCTGCATAAGGTGAGTGAACCACCAGCCTCATCTCTTTTTTTTTTTTTTTTGGGGGGGGGGGAGGGGGGAGTCTTGAATGCATGGAATGGTTTGTATTTTATGGGGATTCCTGTGCTGTGCATGCTCCTTTGTCTGTGTTAATTTTAAGCTGGAGAAGTGCTGCTTTTAAAGAGGTTGTATTTGCTATTCCCTGGATCCCAGGACCATGTTGCTTGTAACTGAGTCTGCACTGCAAGTGAACTTCGGCAAGATTTTACACCATCTCGAGCAGCATGTCATTTTGTGCGCGGTACTTGCACCAGAGCGACAGCTTCATAATGGGCCTACAACCAACATTCTTAGGCTGTCAGTTGCCAATCTCCAAGGAGGAGCGCTGTTTCAAAACAGTCTCTTTTCGTTGCCTGTTTGAGCGGTACCGCTGGTGGCGCTTGGACCACTCAATATCCACCCGTATCTGCTCACATGTGGGCAAGGTGGGAAGTGCTGATTGTGACCTTGACATGCTATTTTTTAACTGCAGTTAGGGCTTTTGATAAATTGTTCCTGGATTCCAGTGCTTTAAATGGTTTTTTTTAAACAGCAAAAGAAAAAGAAGCTACATGCTGCATTTAGTTCAGTTTTGTTGGAAAACTCACAAATCAGTAATCATGCAGAGATTGTATATAGATAAAGTTGCTGCCCTTTTAATGATGTCGCATTAACCATAGATGGACCAGCGTGTCATTTTTACCACAATGTCGCTGTTTAATATTCATGTCGCAGGCTAGCAATAAAAAAAAGTAAGACAGTGTTCTTCATTATTAAAGACACGGATTTTGGAAACCATGGTTCATGTCATTTGAAGGGAAGTCCCATTTAAATCAACACATGGAGGGTGCAATATTGTGTACATTTTGGTTTAATCTTGAAGCAAAGCGCTTAACATGTAGCGTCTTGTGCAAGATGATTGAACAATGTAGAATTTAATCAACACATGACTGAAAGGCAATTTTTTATTTATACCCTGATATTTCTACAAACTGGATCTTGCAGATTTATTATCACTGCCAGTTGTGACTTTTATGAACCTGTGGTTGCACCATGGGGTTCATATTTTGTCGAAACGATATGGACCCATAAAACGGACATCTTTTCAGCAATATATGGGCATTTTCATACTTTAGCCCTATGTTCAAGCAAAAAAAACTGGCTGTTGGATGGTCAAAACAACATGCTTTTCGTGCAAGGCTCATAAAAATATTGGGCACTGGTGAAAATCAGCCATCTTTATTAAATCCTTATCTACTCTTTGTTTACGTTCTGCTTAGCGTTCGCCTAGCCTTGTTGGAACTGCCAAGGGCTTGCCTGGCTACTGTTTATTGCTCAATTTTGACCTGCACAAGGGCATGTCTGACTTTGTTTACGTTAGCAGATGACATTTGAAAGATGGCACCTGCCATTGCTAGCTTCAGATGCGTTCCTCCATAAAAAGCTTTGTTGCCATGGTGACGCTGACCATAGCAGACGGGCTTTATTGTGTGGAAGGAGACGGCGGGGGTGGCGATATCAGGTGCTTACTTGGGCTCCTTCGTCGGATTTTTCAATAAGCAGAATGTGAACAAAAAGAGGGAAAGAAGGACTTAACACAGATGGCCGATTTTCTCCAGTGCCTAATATTCTGACGAGACATACACAAACAATGTTTTTAGCTGGCAATTTAGACAAAGTTTCTCTTACTGCAACATGGGCCTAAACTACCAATGTACCAATATATGTTTCGTCTATACTGTTACGTTTCCTGGAAACTTGTTACCTGAATTCCATACCCTTGTGACGTCCTAGGGACAAATTATTTTTGTTGCTGGGTGGATTAGATTACTAGGCTTCATTTTACTCACTGGAAGTGTGCGAGGCGACTCAAATAAAATAAGAAAAGGAAAACAAATCCACGATCCCCGAAGTAGGCGGGATCGGCAAGCCAGGCTTCAAAACGGCGTTACACGTGGGCGACCACGCATAACGCTGTTTTGAAGCCTGGCTTGCCGATCCCGCCTACTTCAGGGATCGGTGGATTGGTTTTCCTTCCCTTAATTTATTTGAGTCGCCTCGCACATTTCCAGTGAGTAAAATAAAGCCTAGTAATCTAATGCACCCAGCAAAACGGGAAAATGAATACTAGTTATCTCAGGCCTATACTTCGTGTCACTAGTTGTGTGCAGTGCAGGCGAAGGCAATGCCAGGCAAAGAGAGAAAGGGCAATCACCAGAAAGGCACGACGGGAGAGGACAGCAATAGAAGGTGAGGGGAAAAAGGGAGAGCACTAGGGACATTAAAGAGGAGAGCCTTGTCTCCTTCCCAACCTTCCTGGTGCTTGCCCTTTCTTCCCTTCCTTCGCCTGGCTTTGCCTTCACCTGTGCTGCATGCAACTAGTGATGCGGAGTATAGTTTATGGCAAGCCTCATTAGAATCACCAAGGGTTTGGCAATGTACTCTCAATTACTTCTATATAATGCTAACCAGTATTCCATGCAAACTTCTATAGCACATCATATCGTCACACAACAAATGTTTTCTGAAAACAATTTTTTTACTTTGACTTCCACAACACAGTTTTCATAGTTTTATTTGCATGCAAAATTCGGCTGGTACTAACATTCATCATTACCACTCATGACCTTTACCTCTTTATGGATTGTGGTTCCCAAGTTCATTGCATATTTCTCGATTTTGCCAAAGCATTTGATAATGTCATGTATAATCTACTGCTTCATGGTTTACCCCTTAAGTGCCACTTTTTTTTTTAAGGAACCTAAAAAGGCCATATATTTTTATTAAGGAGTTTTAGTCCACTAGTATAACAGATAGAATTTCAAAAGTGTATTACACAAAAATCAGTGGCGGCGAAAAAAAAAAGGCGCCAACTAAACTGAGTGCTGCCATCAATGATCAGCGCCGCAAACTACTCGGACGAGTTGTAGTATTAAGGACTACTGGAAAAACCACTGGACGACCTGAGCTTGTCCATGGCATTTTCAACCAGAAAGCGGCTGACGAGCACAGCTCGTCCAAGGCACTTATAGGGTTAGCACACTCAGTGATGAATCCAGCATGCTTTCCTAAATGGATGCCCTTTTAACTAACCAGTCGCCATTTGTATTCGTAAATAACACTTTCTTGCCATTTGTTCCTATATAGTCCAGGGTAAGTCAAGGTTCTGTTTTGAATATTCTTTTTTTATTATTTATCAATGACTTGCCCTCCTGTGTTTCATCCTCAGTTGTCTAGTTTGTTTGCTGATGACTTATACATGGTGTGTTTTTCTAGGCTTTAGATTTCGCGAGTGTTCCACTAATGCAATTTGTGTGGGTGAGTTATACGGCCAGGGGTGGGGGGGCAAGAGGCTAATTTTCACAATATTTTGTAAAACTAAACATATCTTTTTCGTTAGAAAATTGCTGAGCATCATGGAAAACCACTAATTCAGTCAATTTTAGAAATATTTGAAGAGCATAAGGAGTGTGATTATACACCGAGGTTGCCACTTGTACAACAGCGCGCACAAGACAAGATTGTTAAAGCACGGATGATAATTTCATCATCCGCATTTTTGCGCTGTCGGCCTTGCACTTGTGCTAATTATTTCCTGGCAGTGACCTGTTTGGTTTGTTTTTGCAGCATTCAAGCAATGTGGTTGCCGCCTGGGCTGCCGCGTGAACTTGATCACACCGGAGCCGAGATGGTTTGACCCATCTGATTTGATTCACGGCACTCCTGCAAACAAAATTAGTTTAATGCTGTTGTCTCATTGCAGACGCTTGCATCTAGTGTTTGAAACTAGGAAACGTGAAAAGTGCTGCTTGGACCACACTTTTTTACTAGTTGTTGTGTGTTTTTCCTGGACTAGAGAATGATATTCTGTGTTGAGTGCTACAGTGGCATTTTGAAGAATATTCCACCAATGGAGTGATTTGTTGCAGACTTTGACCACCTAACAGCAATTGCTACAGTTCTATCTAGTTTCCAATGCGTTTCTGGAGGTGAAGAAAAAAGACCTGCACATGTGTCAGCACAGGTCATAACGACACATGTTATGCTGTGTCAGTCAAGGGTAGATATGAATGCACAGAAATGTTAGTAAGAGTGTGCAAGTCTATTTTTCATAACCTTCAAGTGTTGTCACTTTTGTGTTGCAAGTGCTTTCCTTTTAAAGTCCTGGCCTATTGACTTTGATCACTTGTTTTTCAGTTCTGTAATGGACGACATCCAATATTTTCGTATGCTTGCGCAATTTCATGCCAAGTTCCAGTATTACACGTTTACACTAAAACTTGCATTAATTCGACCCTGGCGTAACCTTAAAATTTAAATAAAATTATTCAGAGATTGTATTTAGGCGGGAAAACGGCCCAATTAGGGGGGATCGGTGGCCGAGTGGGCTGAAGCGCACACCCAGCTCGACGCGCGTGGAGCGAAAGCTCGCGCTGCAGAACCCAGGGATCCTGGGTTCGAGCCCCACCCCTGCCCGTTTCGATCTGGATGAGCATCGTACCGGCGTGCGGTCGTGTATCACTACTGCGTGGTGCACGTTAAAGACCCCAGGCTAGCAGTTGTACCGCACTGGCCAAATTGCTCATCTACAGCGAGTGACTCGTCGCAACTTTAAATGGCAGACCAACAACACGCTGTATAAATATCCCCACAAGCCAATTATTATTCTGCGTCCATCCTGCGACCAGCCACATTGGCTATATGATTTCATATATGATTTCATAAGCGGTCTGCAGACTCTAACACTAGCCGCCTCGGTGGCTCCAAGGCGAAAGCGCTGGCCTACGGGTACCCATGTGGCGTGTTCGAATCCCGGCCGAGGTGCCCGCAATCTGACGTAGGCTTATTGCAGAGGAGGCGTCGTGTAACCGAGCTTTCGGTTGCACGTCAAAAGATCCCCAGGTGGTCCGAATTAATCCTCAGTCCTCCGCTGAGGCGTGCCAGATGCCTGTCGTTGTTTTGGCATGTTAAAAACCCCCCCAAATTTTTGACTCCAACGCTATTATCCACGTTCACAAAGTCTTAAGGTGCCACCCAGGGCGGGGAGCAAACCAGTCTTCAGCCGAAGACCACGTCGGCGGCTCTCGAATTTCACGGTGCTCGTCATGCACCGGCGTCTCTGTCACCACGGTGCAGCGTGTGTCTGCACGTTTCCGCTTCGGTTGGATTAAATGGTGCAAAGTCCTTGCACGTTAGAATTAGAATTTATTCCCCCACAGAAATGTATTGGTGCCCACGAGGACTTTTGAACACAATCGAATTAAAGAAAAAATTCAAACAGAGGTCTAATCAATGCAAGTTTACTGTATTTTGATATGCCAGTGCTCATGTCCTAGGTATTTAGAGTTAATTGTTTGAGTGCTTAACACTGCATTTTCTTCATCCGTCTGAAATAGCTTGTGATATGTATGTCCTTTGCTTGGTGAAGGATTGTGTAGGGTACCTGAATTACAAAGTGCGCCCACTTAATTTTTTAAGAAGTTGTGTTATGTTCACCTTTAAATTTTTAACAATCTTCCGCAATTGCTGCACTGCTCTCGCAGTCCGTCTGAGTTGACAGCATCTTGCGTGCAGCTGTGATCCAATGTCAACGTGGTAGAACTCAAAGAAACCGATAGAAGTTGGGCAAAATGGATGATCCCAACCTTTCTTATTTCTTGCCAACAGTGATAGTCACATGGCCCGCCGATTTGGAGTGCGTCACCTTCAAAGATGAGATCACCGAGCCCTCTTTCCTGAGCAGCGAGTTGGACGTGCAACAACCTAAGATTCAGCACCAAGGGAATATACGCCGATGCCGCTTCTGCCCTTATTGGAGTCGCCATCCGCAACATTTTGCCAATCACGAAATGACGCACACGGGAGAGAAGTCATTCAGCTGTCATGTCTGCCAGAGAAGGTTTTCTAAGAAGGTCAACTTGCAGAGACACATGAGGATTCACACGGGTGAAAAGCCGTACCAATGCGAGGTTTGTCAGAAGGCGTTCGCACGGAGTACTGGCTTGATGTATCACAGGAAGGTTCATGCGGAGGAAGGACAGTAGCATGTAGCACTTGTGGGAAAGCATTCAAACGGTATTCTAACCTGTTGGTTCATGATACTAGTCGCAAAAATCAGTAGCTGTATAGGTGAGAGAACTGTTGGAAAACATTTGTGCCGAGAACCCATCTATATGAACATAAGGGTGGAAGAGGGATCCGCATTCCCTTATACCCGTGGGGGCTCTTGTAGATAACCTTTTCAGAAGTTTCACTGTGTGTTTTATTTCCTGTCCATATTTGTTCAGCAGGAAGCAACTTTATTGTTGAGTCTTAATTTGCGTTCACCATCAGTTGTTTCAATTGCTAGTCCAGAAATGGCTGCAGTGCCATTGATATGGGCCAGTTTACTGACAGAAGCAGGTATCTCATCTGGCATATGTGAGGTCTTTTTAAGTGACATGATCAGCTCTGTGGGCCAAAGAAATACGAGCATTACTGAGAAATGACTTGGTATGGCCTTGCTTCAGTCTTAGAAAAGCTATCCAGTTTGCAGAAAACAGGTAATATGACTTTAAATTGGAGTGAAATGAAAAGCGACCGTGTACTTTAAGAGGAGCTGCATGCAAAGTTACCGTTGATGAAGGTAGGGCTGAATGAAAATAAATTAGTGCTAAGTGGAATATAAAGAAAACAGTCTGACATTAGGCAGTCATTCAGTTTGTTGCTTGGGCACAAAGGTGGGTGCAAGGGGAGAGATACATATCGGGTATCTCCCGCTTGCACCCTCCTTTGTGCCCTTTAACATCACGTGATCAGCTTTGTGAATCAAAGAAGTACTAACGTGCTGCCAATATCTGCCCATTATTGAAGCTGCAAAATGCGATTCAGTTTGCAAAAAAGGAACGAAGGAACTTGAAATCTTGAGGAAATTAAACGCTTCTTAGTTTAGGAGCTGCGTGCAAAGTTAGGCTTGCATATCTAGAGGTAAATGAAAGTTAAAAGAAAAGAGCAACAGTCAGTCAGTCCGTGTCTGTTCAGTGAGTAGATTGGGGGAACAACATAACCAGTTGATCAGGAAATGGTTAGAGAAAATCGAGTGATCGCAATACGCTAAGTGTCTGGAAGCAAACAACTAAGGTGTGCTTGTGTGGGATAGAACACACAAAACAGCCGCCATTGCTTACTTCAAGACAGTGTGAATTATCCCGACATTTTTTCACTTCAGTGCCATCTTATAAATGAAAGCAGCACATCTGCAATGGCAAACATCAAAGATTTTTTTTAATTGGGAAGCACTGCCATTAGGGGAAAGCTCCAGGTTCAAAGCAGCAGCAACAAATTATAAAACGTTGTTTGCAGACGGGCTAACCAATTACTTTTAAATACTTTCATGAGCTTAATTACAAGGGCATTGTCGTCGCACTCTACTTGCAGGCGTTATTCGCCCTCTAGTGTTGAAGGAGTTTGTGCGTTCAAGGCTGTACAACTCGCTTTCTCTTTTGTGTCGCATTTAGGCTGTTTTATTATGCACTGTTCGGTGCACTTGTTGATGCACTGGGTTGTGAAGAGTATACAAGTGTTTCATATCTTATTATTTAGTGTCATTATATTTCTTGTGTTGGAGAGTTTTCTTGTTACCATATGGGGTATATGGTAATGTATGTATAATATAAATACAGAGCTGTATATTGCGCAACGCCCATCACTGGTTATAATTTCGTTTCCATATATATCTATGTCCCCAACTTTCTTGCTTTCACCCTCATGTAATGCATTGTAGATGTCTTTAAGGTATAATAAATGAAATGGAATAATACTGTTTTTATTCTATGTAACATGCATGACGTCTCAGCGCGCCTGGAAGTTGTATGCTACGTTGCTATGTGTTTTCCTTTGCTGCATATGTAGTTCTGCATAAGTTGCAGAAGAGATTTATTTTGTGTGTGTGTGCATTGCTTACTCGCATTTTTTAGTGTAACCTGTCGGCACCTGCAAAAACACCTGGAGTACTTCAACCGTATAAAATATACTGTCATCTCTATCTGTTTTTTTGTGATCTGAATCGCATTTGTCGTATTTCTGAAAGAAAACAGATGCCGGCAGTCGTGTCAGCAAGTCTGAATGTGTCGATGTATCCCTTGTCCTCGCAGATATTTTCATCACATCGCAGGTGGCATTACATTTCCTCATACTTGCTAGGTGGAAAGAAAACTGGTTCCCAGTTTCCTTTCTCTCGCAATCTTCACTCCTCTCCCCACAGGAGCCGGTGTCCGAGCTACTGGCTGCCGAAGGAAAGAGGGTCTCGGATAAAAAAAAGTGGGATTGAGGAAGAGTTTCCCTTTTGCGAAATATTGATGGTCGTTGATTTTTTTTATAAAATTTTGACCATGTACAAAATATCCGCCTGCAAGTATGTCTATGAAATTTAATCGTAACATTCATTTTCCTTTGAAAAAATTTTGAAATTCCCCAATAGGGGCAGATGTTTGCAAGGCACACTTTATTACTTGAGAGGTGGGAAAGGCTTGGGTTTCTTTACAGTCCAACTAGTTTTTTGGAGGGGCAAAGAAACTGTCGCTACCATGTTTCTTGTACGATGACTACGAGAGTGAAAGCATGGTAACTGTATATTTTTTTTGTTAATTTAATAAACAGCATATACTCCAGTGAGCCAATCAGTACTATGGAGGGAGACGCCAGACTACGCGGAGCACAAGTTGATCTGCTTCTTGCAGAGGGGTTGCAATGATGTCAAAACGCCGAGCCTATATTAGCTGATGAGAAACAGATAATATTAGATGTCGGAACATTGAGCTCTTATTAGCTGATGAGAAACAAATAGTATCAAAGTGAATCGGAATTCATTTTCGTTCCGACATCACCGCAACCCCCGAGCAAGCAGACGACTTCCTCTCCGCATAGTGGCCGTCTCGCAGGTTGCGCAAGCTGCTTTTGAAGCCACAGCCGAGAGAGGAAAGCCACTTTTGCACGATTTTCGGGTGACTGGCTCATTTTTCAAAGGGGACAAAACGACGTCTAGGGCACACAAGAGGGTCCAAGTAAGTGTGGAGTTCCTCTTTCCCCTCTTCAACTGCTTGGGTTACCCTCACCCCTGTAGCTTTGGCAAGGGCTGCAGCATGCTTTGCCTGTTGCTTCGATGGGCCTGAGGGGGTTTTAGTGTTTGCTTTTTGCCAAGTTTTAGTGAAACAACGTATACGAGTAGCAATTTTAGAGTCTGCAATAACCAAGCGCAGCAGTGCCTACCGTAGCAGTCTCAACTGGGCCCTGCAGTAGAATGCGAGTATAGGCCTTTTTGCACAGAAACCCCATCGAATGACAAAATGGAAGGGCACAGTATGCAAAGCTTCTTAAGTCTGTTTAATAGTACTAAACACTGCAATGTTGATTCGTTTTGTAGGAAATCTTAGCAAAATCTGCAAGTAAATAAAGGAATACTTCGTGCACAATGGTTTTAAGTGCAGGTAGTTTACATGTAATTCAGGAAGTATATCTAGTATATAAACCCGTGGGGGGAAATTTTTTTTGCAGCAGCAGTTCTGGGTGCAAAATTGAGCTGCCCTCCGAGTAGCAGGAGGAAAACTTCGAGATCGGTAGAGAAAGGAACAAACGCACTTCCCAAACTCAACTACTTTATTCAATCGCCCGCCTTATATACGCAGATCCACACGGCAGGGCATTTTATTTTTCAAAGACTCGCACAAAAGGAACATTTTACGAAGCTCGATTAACTTTTGGTTTCACAAATACTTCTGGACTGCCGTGATTCTATCTCTAGAGTTCAGAATCCTAGAGTACAACAGGCTTTTAAATGTGATGCACAAAACTGCAAGGTTAAACCACCACTTTGTGCCCAGACGTCTACAAGAGTCTTGACTAAGGGGACGACCACCACTGTTCTAACCAAAAATGACTAAGTGGACAGGGAACAAACATGTCTCAACCAGCTTGCCTGTTTATCGATCTCGTCTTCTAACACTGCCAACTTATTCTCACGAATAAAAATTTTAAAAGATCATTGTGGTAAACTCCTAACAGCTCGCTTGAACACCTCAGTTTTGGCAGTGCTTTTTTTTCAGACTGATGAAAAAGATGCCATTTCTAACACTTGTGTCTCCATTAAAGCATGTGCGAGCCTTGGCAGTTAGATGGGAGCAGAGCTTCTACATTGTAGACTTATCGCAAAAGGTCTATTGCAAACGATGGATATTTTAAGGTTTGGATGAGAGTTTCATCTGGGCACAGAATGACATTTTTGTATTTTGCGGACGATTATCATTTCCAGAAGAAATTAACACTTAACAGAAGCAGAACAATTATTGTGACCAATCAAACGCTGATAATACATCGTTGCAGGGGTGAAAGAACCTGTGTAGGAACTCTATAGTTCCTGATCTCGAACTTCACTCTGCTGGTCTTCTGGTTACGGCTTAGGTTTGTTCGTTTTCCTCAGCATACCATATTTTCCAGTGTATAAGATGCACCCCCCGCTTTTTGCAAGTTTCGAAGTAAAAATTGGTATATAAGACACACCTGTCTATAAGACTCGCTGCAAAAATTCTGGAAAAAAGAAGTGTCTTGTACACCGGTAAGTATGGCATATGTGACTGTAGCAAAAAATATTCTCACTGTGTCTTGGAATTATTCCACTAGTGCTTCGAGTGAATAATTATATTTTTAGGGTGTTAGCTCTTTTAGACAAACGCCGCTAAAAAACAATCGCTTGTCTGGAAATGATAATTTTCTTGCTGAAGGAGACCAAAATACATGGATGCACAAACAAAATGTATGCCCTAGCAACACATATGCCACAACATAACCAACACCAGAATGCTCCCCTCCAAGAACATTCCACGAGTATCTGAGCTTAAAGGGTCGACACGCTCGAAACCTTTGGGAGGCAAAACCCTATAAAAATTTCTGCACAGCATACCTTGACACACCCCAGAAATAGCCCACCTAAAATCGAAAGCAATTGGGCGAAAATAAGAAGTAAACCATCTTTCAATTTCAATAAAAAAAAGTAAAAAAAATGCTATTTTTAGATTTTGTGATGATGAACGACATAGTGTCCTTCCCAGTCAACAATGTTTGCTTATCTTTCGTTGCAGCTAAGTAGCACTATTTCTGCCGAGGTCACCATTGGACAGGGCCCTACAATTGCTAGAAGTGGGCTATTTTTTGGTGCTTTCGAAAAAATAGCAAATCATGGCAAAAAAAATGGGGGCCCGTTGCAGTGATTTACTAGCATTTTATACAACTGGAAAAAAATCGCCACTGGATGCAAAGTAGGAAAAACTAAAATTGGGGCTGTGTCATTATTTACCATTTTGTGCCCACTGTATTTGCTATGTTCACAAGCTGGCACTTAGTTTCTGCGCTTGTGAAAACAGCATCCAAGACAGCATCTAGCGTGTCTGCTGCATTACACACCACATTTTCCCGTAAATGTAACTCCCCACATAGGAAAGATTTCCCTGGTCCCTTCAGATTTTGTTTAGACCCCTGTACTGAAAGGGGCACTAAAGTCAGTTTTGAAAAACGTCGTTCTTGATCTCATATTGTTTAAAAATGCGTTAGTTCCCACATATATTATGTGGGAACTAACATATATAATGTGTTAGTTCTTACAGTCCTATATTCCAAAACCGCATATTCATCTCGGGAACAATAGGAAAACCTGGACTTTTTTTTTCTCGCGGACTACATTGTGTGGACCAATGAAAGCCCTACAATGCGTGCAGATTCCAAATGGTTTTATTATAACTCGTTTCGAAGAGAGTTTGATAGGTACACATTCGGATATGACTCCTTTTCTTCTGCGAGGGAAGCCATCACTTGCAACTCGTCGACAAGCGCCCTTCGTCGACCACTCTGAAAAACATTTTTCCGAAAAAGGATGTGTTGCAATCTTTGACCACATTTTTAACGAGGAAATAAGCTACGCACGATTGTGATTTTGGGTTTGTTGGGATGCTTAGTGTCTAGATTGATTGCCACCACAAAAGAATGACCTCAGAATCGACTTCAGTGCCCCTTTAAGTTTGATGCCTTGTACCTTACTCTACATCAATTTCTTTTTGGCGATGAATTCCAGCATGATCTTTTCAGTAAGGGTGTGGCATCAGCAGACTCTACCTTCAGTGTCTCTTCCTATGAGCCGACAGGTGACTGCTCACCCTGAACGCTTTTCCACAGATATTGCACTTGAAGGGCTTCTCACCTGTATGAACCCGCATGTGCCCTTTAAGGGTGTATTTCTCGGTAAATGCCTTTCCGCACAGATCACACTTGAACGATTTCTGTCCCGTGTGTGTTCTTTCATGAACCACGCACTGGCTCTTCTGTGCAAACATCCTGTGGCAGGTACGGCACTCGAAGGGCTTCTCTCCTGTGTGGGTTCTGCGATGAACCTTTAGGTTACCGCTGGTGAGGAAACCCTTGCCGCACAAGTCACACTTGTAAGGTCTTTCCTTGTTGTGGCTTCGCTTGTGGATGGTCAGATGGGCTGCATCTGCAAAGGTCTTGTTGCACACGGGACAGCTGAAGGGCTTATCACCCGTGTGTACCCTTTTGTGGATATTTAGGCTGCTCTTGGACTTGAATTCCTTGTGGCAAAAGCGGCAGTAAAATGGTGGTTCTCCCAGGTGGATCTTTTCGTGAGTCGTGGCGCTGGTCTCGGAATGGAATATGCGCGGACAGAAGCGGCAACTGTGAATGCCGTCACAGTGTTGACTTTCTCTTGCTTGCACTTCATCCGATCGGTCTTGGGAGTTGATCTGGCTGTTACTGTCTTCGCGGCTGGTGCTGTTAGCTTCGTCGTCCAGCACCGTGTCGATGGGCTCTGTTAGAAGACACACAAATATAAAAATTTTAATGTGTGCAGATGATATCTGTCGTGCCACAATAACCACGTGCCAGTTTTTTTCTTCCCGACAAGTTTCTTATCAGGGAGCAGCACACGACACTACAAATTGTACAGCTAACGACCATATGCATTCCCCAAAAAGTTTTAATGCGAAAGCATTAACTGGGGGGGGGGGGGGGGGGGGGGTCCCATGGAGCGAGTTGACATCATCCACCAAACGGCAGCTAAATTCCCCTGTCCTAATGGAGCAAAGTGAAGCCGCGATTTCAAGCATCCCAGCTTTGAAGCCGCGCAAAACAGCAACAAAATGAAGCCGAACTCTGAGGGATGCGGCCTCCGCACATCAGTTTCAAGGAGTGCCACCCCATGGTGCTCTGTGTCCGCGCCACCAGCGCACCAGTAAAGAGAAGCGGCTGGGAGCGGGGCCAGCCGACTTTAGAGCGGCGTACGGCCATGTTGGCGCGGCGCGACCACTTCACGATGCTGCGCGCAAGATTTGCATTTGCAACTCGCAAAAAGTGCTTAGGTGTACCTCGAGCCTTTTTTATTCACCTCTCAACACTCTGCATGCTGCGTGGTGTCAGAAATGGCTGTAGCAGGCTATACCCGCCCGCGGGACTAGTGTGCTTGCAATGACCATTGTTTGGGAAACCAGAAACGGTGTGCAATGGCAGAAATGACGCCCAACAATTCATCCCGCAATCTCTGCTGAAACTACACGACATCCCCGAGACGTCTGGCAAAACTAAGCTCCTGATAAAGTGAGCAAGCATTTTTTTTTTGTGGTGACATCATTCAACCATCAACCAAAGAAGTAAAAGTGGCAACATTATTAACATTATTTTGAAGAATTAAAGGGGTAAATAAAAATATAGAGCATGTTCCTGTCTGAAAAAGGTAAAAACAAGCAAGATGGTCAAGGGCTTCAAAAGAACTTGGAAAAGTTTCTGGAAACCTACAACCAACCTATCCTGCCAAAGATATTGCTTGGGGGGAGATATGAGAAGAGTTCCACCGAATGAAGCTGGTCTTCGTATACTGGAAAAAAATAATTTCGGAAACTATAATGAAATAATGCTTTGAAGCCGGAGCATCTTACAAGGCGACACAAAAAAAGAAACCACAGCTGAAAGTCAGGCAACCAGCGTATGGAATTTTACCTCCTAACTTTTGTGGCATTGAATTTCGAATCCACTTGTAGCAAGGCATGCCAGGCGTGCGGCGACCAGTCATCATCATGAAAGCGTTTCTCGTTAATGCAAGTGTCTGGTGCTCTGTAAGCAATCAACTACTTAGGCTGACTTATCTGCTACAATCTCTCAAAATTATGTAATCTTTTATCCATTTTTTTTGTAAAAAGTGAATGTGTAATACCTAATATATTATGTCTCAAACGGGACAACCGCCAAAATTGAGTGCCACGACGCTTACAATCTGGGAGAGGTGCTGCCAACTTGTGCACTCAATTGCTGGACTCTTTGTTTGAGAAAGCATAATTTTGTTTACACCTAAAAGGGAAAAAGGCTTACCGTATTTATTGAAACATAAGTCTACTTTTTTTTTTCTTTTCTTTTTTCAAAAGTGTTAAAAATTAAGCATCGACCTACAATCATGACCAGAGAATTTCAATCTAAATTCATACCAAATTTCGCACCCCTATCGAGTGCATGGATCTAATGAGTCACCGAGCCAGCATCGCCGTAGCGCCTTGCCGCTTCTTATTTGATCTTTTGGAGTAAGCTTTTGGTGCACGAAAACAACCGGTACATGTAGCAGCAGCCAGCGGCAGGCCGTTGCTCGCACGCATCCCTCAAGCGTTGGGTTTCGTGCCTGTCCGCAGCTGCCGCGGCCGGCGCTGCTCACGCATGTTCCTCGCGACGCAAGGGGGATGCGACCAGGGTGTCGAACCGGAACCGAACCGAACCGAACCGAAAACCGGAACCGAACCGTTATTTTTAGCCGAACCGGAACTGAACCGAACCGAAATCTTCGCCACCATCTTGAAACTGAACCGGAACCGAACCGAAAAAAAATATAACGGTAACCGGTTCAAAACGGTTCAAGGTATTCTTTTTTCGTTTTTGTTAGTATCACAAAACGAACATATGGGAATATGAAATTGGCGGCTGTATTTCTATCTATTGTTTGAATTGTCACATACAGAATTGCAATGTATGGTAAACTGGCTTTTCGTGGCGCTTTTGTACTGGCACTATGATTAACCATGTATCACGTCACGTGACGTCATGGTGTCAATACATGCTGTCAAGTAATGTCACGTGACCCTGTGACGTCATGTGACTCACTGCGTCAAGTCGATTTAATTTGAGAAAGTCACTAGATGTATTAACCTTGTTGACAGTGTGACGTAACATGATATCACGATTTTGCACCGAGTCACGTGACACCGTGACGTAAACAATTTTCCTAGCCCCGAATCAGGGATGGGCAAAATACATGCATATTTTTATCAAAATACAAATACAAAATACTTCGTCAAAAAAGTATTTAATTACGACTCTAATTACATTTCCAAAAAAGCATTTAAGTACAAGATACAAATACAACCAAATGTATTTGGTCTCCAAATACTTTTCCAAATACATTCCTCAAAATTTGCTTCAGCGACTTCAGGGCACCTGCAACGGGTTTCTGGGTATCTCATTTTAATTTTGCATCGCACACTCGGGAGTTAGTGTGCGAGGCTCTAGTAACGTAATAGAAATATAATCACAAAAAATGTAATCAGCTTGGACGTAATAGGTGAAAAAAGTACAGAGCTTCAAGCAGCTTTCTTTGTCGATTACATTTTGGTATAGACCAGGGGTGGCCAGGCTGACCCGGCCTAAGAGCCGCAAACAAAACCACGAAACTTCCAAGAGCCGCAGGGGGGGGGGGGGGGGGACAAACTTTAGTCCAGAGCAATAATCGAAACTCGAACTGGCTTTCAGTCTATTCATGTCAAAAGCAGTGTAACTTTACGTAAGGTAGGAGAAGCACAATACTACGAAACCGCAACCTGTCTTTCGATTTAAAACGCGGTCCATTTCTTGCTTTGGGGAAATGCAAGGGGGGAGAGGGGAGGGAGGCGCGAGTTGCACTTTAATACGCGAAGAGCTGCATACGGTTCGCGAGCCGCAGCTTGGCCACCCCTGGTATACACCAACAAAAAACCGAGACGACCAAGACGCGCAGCCCTAGCTGGAGAATTTTTTATTGTTGCAACTCGCACCAGTTAAGAAAATCTGACGACCCGCGCATCTAAAATGTTCCAGGCAAAAATATAAATGGAAATCAGGCTGGAAAGCATCGCAAGTTGTCACAGCCACTTATTTAGCCAGTCTGCCTGTGAACGTCTATTTCGTCACTATTCTTGCCCTGGACTAGCACCGTAATCACAAAGTCACTAAACGCTTGTGCTTGATTGAGAGACACTGCATTCAGTGCAGAACGTAGTTTTCTTCCTGCTCTGGACAGTGCCTTTAAAATAAAGCCGGAGGAGAAAAAGAAAAAAGCCCCATGGCTGAATAAAGGATGGAGACTATACACCAACTCATCTCTGTGATGTCACGGCGCGGTGGTGGCGCGTCGGTCGCACTTCCGGTCTGGGGCTGAGGGCAGAAGTCCCCATGCCAGACGTGCATTCCTGCGTTGTTTTGAAGGGAACCAGACAAAAACCTGCCTACTCGTCAAAACGCCGTGACTTGGATTGTACCAAACGAGTCGAGAAAGGTTTGAAGGTCAGTTTTCACGTGCTCGGTTCGTCCGAGAATCTGGATATGTGCCGTGAAAAGGGAAAAGCAGACGCCGTGGGACAACGATTGCTTGGGCGGGAAGCACTTTGAGTTGAATTCACGGATACTTGTGGTAATCAGATTTATTAGTTTTATTCCAAATTGAACGCCAGAAAACCATCAAGTTGTGCGGACCACCTGCGGACTACGTTCAGCGCGTCTTCAAGTTCAAACGGCCGCCTGATCGTTCGAACTGTCGTCTGCTCTTTCAAACGTTTCTGCTTGTCGTCTGCTCTCTTAGACGACGCCGGCCCGTAGATTAAATGTTGGCCCGGTACTTGCTATACGAAGCAAGTGCAGGCCTCGAAAGACTTAAGTTTGAAGGTTGGTGAGCAGGCTCGATCTAAACAGTAAATAAAAGGAGATGTTGATCATTGTTACGAGTGACCGTCACTGACTTGCTATGCCTAATTGACTTGGTCCGATTCTGCTTGCGATTTTCAGTACCGACGTAGACTATCTCAGCTACGGTTCACACTTCTGCAGCCTGAGCGGCGTCGCGACTGAAAATTGCGAGCGGAATCTCACCATGCGGATCAGGTTTTAGCGTAGATACTGCGGCGTCCACGCGGAATGAATCGCCACATGTCACATTATTCACGCGAAGTTTCGCGGTGTAACAAGCCTAGGTAATTTCGCTGACGAATCTCAAGTAGTCAGACATCGCCAGGAAGACGTAGAATCAACAATTCGAACGCCAAAAAGAGCAGGGGGACTCACACCGACGCCGACAACATCGCATTTCAAAGGTTTGTTTATGGGCGACGGCGAACTTCTTGCCCACACCCCCCTCGCGCATGCGCGGCGCCGGTGGCGTCCGCTAGGGGCGCTCCGGTTTGTTTGTAAACATGAGTTGGTGTATATCTTACAACCACATGCATAAAAACAAGAATTGTAACTTTGGCAATAACATTTATTTAACGTAATAGAGGCAAGTGCCGCGGTCACCCGGCGTGCCCGGGCGCCCGCGGTGAGCGAGACGCGAACTGCCGCAGGACTGGTGTATGAAGAGATGAAGAGTTTCTTGGTTTGTTGCCGTTGGCGTTGAGATGAAGAAAGAGCAGCTTTGGACACGTCTTAGGATGAGCAAAATGAGTCCTGACAGTAAATTTGAGGGATGTATTTTCGCCCACAAAATTGTATTTAATTACAATTGTATTTGAGATACCCACGCTTTAGTATTTAAATACACACGTCAAATACATTACCCAATTTGTAATTAAATACAAATGCAAAATACACAAAGTATTTGAAATACGTATTTCA